CCAGTTACATTGCAGACGAACTCTTCCCTCCAAGCAAGCGAGCGATCCAGAGGGTTGACGGTTGAAACCAGACCAGACCGAGCTGAGCGAGCGGCTCTGGGTATTATCATGTTGAGCATCCGTTTATTTGCCAATGTGTTCCGCCTTGTCTTGTACGCATCAGGCCCAGCCTGCGCTTCGACCACCCTTCTCCGGCCGCCATCGTTCTTGACCTTTCGACCCCCCTGCTCCGCGAGACTCACGGCGCCTCGAGCTTGGCCGAAACGGCGATGCCATTGGCTCGCCGGGCCATGTGGCTCGCGACAGGTTTGTGTCGTCCTGGTCCCGCGCTCCGTGTGCCTGCTATATGTATATTCCAAAGTATGCGCGTGCCTGTATCATTATCATTACCGCCAGCCAACCTGCGTCTTGATTGCTACTGCGAACCACCAGGCACCTTGATCGCTGCGAGTCGAAGGTGTCGGTGGGCCTGTGTTGGGGGTTGTCTCACACGGGCGAAACAGCCGCTACCGCGGAGGAAGGCAAACACTGGAGCTCACGAACGGGCTGGCTCTTGGGGAGGGCCCCCAAATAGCTCGCAGATCATTTCACTTAATAAGACTACATTCTCCGCCTGACAGGCTGCCCGCGCTGTTCGGTCGCGGATGTCATGGCACCGGCCAGCGCCGCCTAATGCGCTCATGGCGTTTGCGACATGGGCTAGGAGCCGTGGTTAAAAGCTCGCCCTCTGGAACTTGGAGGCATTGGATGGACGGCCAGGTCAGATAAACGGCTCCAGGATTGGGTTGAGGTTGGCGCCAAAACACTAGCAGACGCCATGCCGGACCTGCAGTTCTGGCGTCGTCGCCGACGGGTGTTCGTGTGTATGTATGCGTGGTAACAGTGGCGGTGGTAGAGCGGAACATGTACGTATGTTGCCAGTGTGCCATCCAGGTAGGCCAGTCATGATGGAGAGGATGGGAATGGGAACAGGGTCGGCCGATGGATGTCTGGGGCTGGTGTAACATGGAAATGACAAGACCAAGTCGGCCGTCGCGAAATTGTGCCATCGCGGTCCTCAATTGTCAAGTCAGAGGAGGGGTGCTAGCCGGCCACGGAAGCACAGGTCAGGACGGCATCCAACATCCATCTTCAAGTCACACACACACACACACACACACACAACGGGGCATATGGCATATGGGACCTTGTGACTGGCGGGCGATCCGGCACCAGTCGCAAAGCGCAGATGACGGAGCTGATACGGGCCAACCTCCATACAAATGGAATGGCGAGGGGTGAACATGAGGGATGGCTCACGCGAGATGCCCCAACGCAGATCGGCCATGGCGTTCCGATTTCCTCCTCTTCGTGTGCGCAAACATGAATGCTTTCTTGGTTCGGGTAGGGTGGGATGGCGCGCTGCGAAGCGCCGCAGTTATCAATCCGAATCTTGCAGCGCAGGCGGGAGGGAGGGAGGTGGGATAAGTATGTACATATCCCTCGCAGTCTCTGGGTCTTGGCCCCAAGGCACGGCAGTCGAGTCGCAATCGGGTCCGATCTGGCGTCCCTGGCCCCTCGGAGGGTCCGGGTATTGGAGGGCTGGAAGCAGAGACGGCAAGGCATAATGTCAATCAGTTGAACTGCTGTCGCCGCGCCCATCTAGCGGAGTGTGTGAGTGTGTATCCGTACACACGAGATGTTAGGCAACTTTTCAGGAAAGAGAGTGAGAAGTACTCCCAGGCGCAATGGATATCGCATCGCATCGCATTGGATTAAAGGTGAGCTGGACCCGATGGGATTGGTTGGGATCATGGATGGCCTGAAGGCCTGCGGGCATGGCCAGGATTGACGAGGTTTCGATGGCTCAGACCGGACAGGGATGGCTGGGCGAATTGGAGGAAGCGAGGAGGAACAGGTCTGGCGGTCCATGGATGGTACCCGTGATAAATAAGGTGAGGAGCAGGAAGGTTTTTTGCGTGTCTTGTTTGCTCGCGGAGACATGACGCTGCGGTCTTACTGGGGCGCCGGAGACCCGTGAAGCATATGGCTTTACCGTTCTGTCACTTCCTTCACTTTAGCCCTGTAGGCCGTCATTCGTTTGTCGGTGGCCAGCCTGCCCCGGTCAGTTGTCGTTCCTTCAGGTCGTCCGTTGCGTTGTTCTGCTGGCTGGGCTGGGCTGGGCTGAGCCGAACCGACACGAGGCATGGAAGCAGGGCAGAGTGCGATTGGTGAAGAGATATGGGGTGTGGTGAGGAGCGAGACAAGAGGGCCAAAGGGCCATATATTCCTTGCACATCATCGGGCGCTTGCTCGTCATCAGTTCGGATACCGGTGCGCACGTATCTGGTCGTTCCGCTGCGCCGTTACATAACCAAGGTCAGCCAAGGTCGTCCTCAGGAAAGTAACTCGTTAGTAGCTGGTAATAGGCTAAAGAAGACAGATGGGTAGGTAAAAAGGGAGACGAAACACACAAGTTCGCATGTGTGTACATAATGTAGCCGATGTTTTCTACTGCCTGTGTGAGCGTTCATATATGTATGTACCTTACTCGAGGCCAGGCGAAAGTGTACGCAATACATGGACACACAGCTGGACAGACACACACGCACGCACACAAACACACACCCACGGACGTCTGAATTTGTTCCGACAAGTCGACCAGTGGGCATTCTTGAATGGCAGGCTTTGGATGTACTATGTAGGTATGCTATGCCACGAGCGCAGGGTAGAGTGTGTGTGTCTTGTGTCGAGATAATGTTAAACGAGACATCCAAGATGGAGCAGGACGGTCCTTAACGGGCAAAAGTCAGTCAATTGTCTGGCCCCCTGTCCTCCCTAGACCTCGTGGACAGAGATTCAGGCTTCTAGAAGGCTGTAATTACCTTCCGGTGCGGCGAGAGGCCATCATATCCGCAAATAGGCACTCGCGAGATTTGATGGATCAACGCCAGCCCAGGCAAGGCAGGCAGGCCAGGCAGGCCAGGCCAGATCTTGACTTGCTTGACCGCCTTCGCCTTTCCATAACTCCATTGCCTTTGCTTTGCGCCGTCCAGTCGTCTTTGGCCACCTCAGACCCTGTCCGGTCCAGTAGGTACCTACCTACCTTACATAGTAGTGTCCGCTCTGCTGCGCTGCGCTGCCGTGCTCTGTATGGCCGGTCGATGGCTCCATTGCGACTTGCGCGCTGTTCGCTGTTCGTTGTTCGCTGTCCGCTTTGCCTGCTCGCTTGCTTGCTGCTGGCTGGCTGGTCGATGGGCGATGGTCGCTGATGTGCGGCGGCGGTGATGCGAAGCGCCCCAAGTTGCGCAAGCATAGACGACTTCCGCCCCCGTCCGGCGCCCCCTCCTCCGGTCGCCTCTGAGGCCCTGGCAACACCTGATTTCCTCTGCAAAGGCGCAGACAGACTGAAAGCATGATATGGAAGCCCAAAATCAAGTCGACAAGAGGCCTAGAGAGCGCCAGCGCAAATGCGCCTGCGGCAATGAGGTATCTGATTCACCAGTGAAGGTCATCTACCTCTGAGTGATAGGTAGGTACCTACCTAAGGTAGGTAAGGTAAGGTACCTGCCTCCCACTCAGGGCAGGCGTGAGCTGGCCAGGAGAGCGTGGACGGGACGGGCGGGTCCAGGTGCCACCCACTCTGCGGTGAAGTGCGGCAGGTACCCTGTTTTTCAAGGGAATTACTGGCCAGGGCCCTGTATCTGGGGCGAGCTAACGAGCTGCTGTAGGGTCGGCAGGGTCGGTAGGCAGGTTGGGCCCCAGCCAGACTGCCCACCTCACCCTCAGCGCCTCCTGTTCCCGTCGTGCGAGGACAGCCCGGACATGGCAGGTACCTACCTACCTTACCTACTACCTCCGTACTGCGTAAGGTAGGCTGCTACCGCGCCTGCTCCAGGCTGTCCGCCCCTGAAGCGTCGGAACACGCCTCAGCTGTTCCAAAGCTTCAGCGGGCACTATCACCTCACTATAGCGCACCACGCCCTGAAGGCGCCTGAACCGGACCAGAAACATTTGCACACAGTCTGGCGCACTGTCGTCCCCAACCGGTGGCCGGCAGTCTGGAGACCTGGGTCCTCCACAGTGGCTGCAGAAAAGACGTGCACCTTGGGCCGCTGGACTTGCCTTGCGCTCCATGTTAGTGAGCGCAGACCCAGCAAGATTGAACTGAGCTGCAACTGGACTGGACTGGACTGGACTGGCTGGTCTGGCTTGGGAAACTGGAACAGCAGCAACTCACCGCAGACAAAATCATATCCTCGCCGGGCTCCTCTTTTTCCCTCTGATGCACACAAACCTGCGAATTGCCCACCGGATTCCCATCATTCAACACCACGGCCTTCGTCGAGAGTGAGTCTTATCCGTCCTTTTGGTCTTTGCGATCAAGGCTTCATGTCCCTGAGCACCCGTCCTCGTCGCATTCCCTTCCTCGTGCTTCTCCCGTCGCTCTATCGGTCCCCTCGCTGCTTCGCTACATCCGCTCCCCGACGCACTCTCCAGTTCAACCTCCTCCTCTACTCCTCTCCTCACCTCACCTCACCTCTCCTTCCTACACACATCTTCTCCTCCTCTTTCCAACCCGCCGACAGGTCATCGTAACCGTCCAACCGACCCGTCTCTGCCTTCGTCGGCATTCCATGGCTAATCCCCTCCAGTCCATGATCTAGATTCTTCACGACTCCTCCTCTCCCCCCATCCCCCGACCGTTCGCTCCGGCAGCGTCTTGGTCAGATCGCCCCGTCTGGCGCTGACCGCACGACGACACAGAGCGCTCGTTGCAACGCCTCTGATACATCATTTGGAGCAAGACAGCTCGTTTCCGCTGTCGATTCGACTCGAATTTAGGCTCGTCGGCAGTCGGCCACCATTCTAGTCGACCGCCCACCAGCTCCAGCTCAGGACCTCAACCATCCTGTGCCAAGTTCACGACCACCCTCCATTGCACCACCGCATCCTCCATCAACCCCCCTTCATCCGACCATCCTCCATTCAAATCCATCGATTCAATAACATACATCAAAATGACGAGCATGTCACCCACAAGTGCCGTCAACGGCCACTCGGGGCCCAACTCCAACCAGGGCAGCGTTTCGCCCCGGCAGACGGTGTCACCCAAGAACGTCGCATTTGAACTCCTCTTCACAGAGTCACCACAATACCGTGCGCGACTCCCTATGCGAGTTCAAATTTACCCTCACGACACCACTGACTCCATTGTCACCACCGTCAAGAATTTTTACGGTCTGTACTCGGGGCCGACCGGCTCAAAGGGCGTCAGCTTCGAGGATGACCAAGGCATAACTCTCATCGCCAGATACGAGAACTTCCGCGACAACATGGTTGTCTATGTCAGAGTCATTGAGGAACCCCCTTCTTCCACTAGCCCTTTTGTCCCGCCCTCTACTTACCAACACGCTCCTGTCGGCGCTCCGCCACACTATGGGGCGGACGGCTACCCGACACTTCAGCCTCCGCATCGCTTTGGCCATGAAGTCTCCAGACCCTCATCTAGGACCTCTCGGAAGCGCAGTCCGTCGCCCAATGTCGGCCGCGGCCGACGCAGCGGCTCTGCCAACACAACCACCAAGAAGGGTCGATCTCGCTCCTCCAAGAACAGAGATACTGGCGCCAATGGCCACGCCGACATTTACAGTGACAGTGTCAATGGTTACAGCAGCGGTGACGGAGCCCCTGGTTCTAGCTCTAGCAGGGTCAAGGAGCAGATAGGCAACACCGAAATCAGTGTCGAAAACATTGTAGAGGGTGGCCGACGCAAGCGAGCCAAATTCGAGAGCTCTGTAAGTTTGCCGACCGCTACTTGTGCTTCCTTATCAAGCCGTAATCTCTCCATACTCATCTCCCTCATCACAGGAGCTTCCATTGTTTGCGCCTCCGCAGATGCCGGCGGCCACGTCGAACCCCTCCGTGTCCCCTGCCCGTCGCAGCGAACCTCAGCGAGCTTCTTTCCCCTTCGTGCAGCCGGGCCAAAACCCCTTCACGAATCCCATCCCTCTGCAGTCTCCGCAGAGCCACAATAACGGATACGGTCATGGTGGGTACTATGCGACGCCATCTTCAGAGCGCCATGCTCGTGGCAGCATTGGGTACCCCGGACAGGGCAGCAGCTATGGTGGCATGGGTGGAATCCTGCCGACTCCGGACCCCACTGTTGGCAGTTGCATGTCGGAGGAGGACAAGGATGTGGCTATCCAGCTTATGCGTCTGGGTGAAATGTCCAACATTTCACACGGTCGCACTTCCGCTTCTACCCTCGACGATACCTTCAGCGGTCGCGCCGATGCCGCCTCGTCCACTGGAGCCACTAGTGACGGCGACAGCGAGAGCGAGGAAGAGTGCTCGGCTTCCCAGCGCCAGCAGCTGGATGCTGCCGGCATCATGCGCAAGATGTACCAGACCACGGAAAGCCACTTCATCCCTCAGCCGAGCATCGAGACGAGCGGTGATGATGCCGACATGGAGGACGCTCCCGACGTCCCGGCCAACACGGAGCGCAAGCCCGAGGCTTTGAAGAACAAGACCAATCTCCCGGACGCCAGGCCCAAGACCCAACTGCCCGGGTCCAAGCCCAAGCCCAAGGTCAGCAAGGTTCCCCGTCCCACCATTGCCAAGCCCAAGAAAGCTTCCGCCACCGCGAGCAATGGCCCCATGTCACCTGCTTCTCTGCCTCCGTCGCGCAAGCCGTCAATTGCTTCTGCTCCCACCGTCCCGGGTGCTCCTGGCGAAGAGGAGCAGCTGGATCTCTCTGCCAAGCCTCGTTGCCAGCGATGCCGCAAGAGCAAGAAGGGCTGCGACAGACAGCGACCCTGCGGACGATGCCGCGACGCCGGCCTCAGTGCCGATCAGTGCATCAGCGAGGACGAGGGCAATGGTCGCAAGGGTCGCTATGGCCGACACATGGGTGTCCCCATTAAGAAGGAGGACATCACCAACCCCATGCAACCCATTCTCCTTCCAGCTGCGCCCATTTCCACGACGGCCGCTGTCGCCGACAAGAATAAGAAGAGGAAACGGTAAAGCAACCGTGTCTCACAAACGATTTTCCACCCTCGGTCACTCGGCATAGCGCCGGTACCACAGAGGTTCAACACTGTCTCTACCAGGATGAGGATATTGGCCTGCCGGTGTTTGGTAACAGCAATGTTTAACAAGGATTGGGGAAGCTTGGACTAGCACGCCACTGAGTGCTATCTACGGCTGCAGTATGAGGTGGAGGGATTCTTGATTTCTTTTCTCTACGGTCTGGTCACACAAGACCACCTGGCAAATGGGGGGGATAAAGACTCGGCGGGGGGTTAATCGGGGTTTGCCGGGTGAGGACTGTCAGTCACACTCCTTTTGGCGTTTCGGATCTGTTTTATGGGAAGCGGTGTTTTTTTTTTTTTTGCTGTTTGCTGTTTCTTTCTGTTTTGTTGCGCACATCATGTTTTTCTGTCTTGCTCTATTTTCTTCAATGCTGGCGAAGTCGTGGCGACAGAGAGCTACAGTTTTCGGCGAAGTTGTGCAACTGTACGATGTGAAGGGCGACGGAAAGTTGAAAAAGCAAGCGGATATGTTGGTACGCAGGCATGAACACGCGCGCAAATCCATGTGCGCCTGCGCCTGCGTCTGTGGTGGTCAAGAGATGAGTCGGGAGTGGGATATGGGATAGGCCGGAAGGGGGAAGGACAAACAAAAATAAGGCGGTTTTCTGCGACTTGCAGGCGAGAGACTGTTACGGGGCTCGCGCATGGTTCAAATTGTCCGCGGATGAGGATGATGGGAAGAATCGCTCGCCTGCAGTTTCGTGCTACGTTGTTTCCTATATTGGCGAGGAGGTGGGAGCTTGCGCGCACCGAGTTTCACCACTCCTATTTCTGTTGAGCTTTTTCCTCTCTGGATTTTCCCGTTGGAAGGAAAGTGTGGGGGAATGGGAGAGGCGATGCGGCTACGATACGACTGTTTTTCTCAGTGGCAACGCTTACTACAAAGAAAGGCCAAGTAAACAAAAAAGACATTGATCATCAAAACATGTTCCGGCGTGATGCGACCATCGGTTGAAGTTTGCGACGGCGCAAAACGGAATGCGCTGTCGCACCGTCCCCGGGGCGGAGCGGGGGAGCGTCAGAACGGAAGTCGTTGAAAGATGGCTGCGGGGCTAAACCCAATCCGACACTAGCGCGCGGTTCTCGCCGTTGCATCCCGTTCCGGCTCGGCCAGGGAGGGGAGGGGTAGGAGGTTGGTGGCGGTGGTCCTTTTTTTGTGGCGGGCGCGCAAGACGGCGGTTCCTCTGCACAGTGTGTGGTCCGTGCGCAGCTCGAGCTGGCGCGGGCTGGCACCAGCTCCTTGCGCCCTGACTGGCCCGCTGGGGGAAAGGGGGCTTCGCGTGAATTGTTAAGGCGCCTCGACGAGGTACTTCCGCTGGCGGGGTGCACGGTAGTTCGGCGCATGTGGTTCGGATTATTACGTCATTTGTCGAGAGAACCCCGCACTCATGGATAGCTCCCCGCATTGAACTTCACAGTGTTGAGTGTTTAGGGATTTTCGACTACGATTGCTGAAGAACTGCGATTCTTGTGCGGGATTTCGAGCAGCCTAGAACAATTACGCTGTGCCGGTGTATGCACACCAGGCAATTGGAGCTGCAACAGATTACGGATGCTTAAATTGCGCAGTCGATTTTCTTCCGAGCCCGCTATTAGCGATGGAGGCGAGCGAGTTACGGATTGGGTTTTGGATTGAGCGGTGAGTCGGGTTTTTTCTGCGCTGCGCAATTGGGTGAGTTCGGTGCGCATGGGCTGCGCGTTGTTTTTGTTGTTGTTGTTGTTGTCATGTTTGTTTACTTTTACTCGTTTCGGAGCACAGTACGGTTTGCTGGTTGGTCGGCGGGCATGGCTTTGCGCCCTTTTTTTAGTGTTTAGAGTGCTGCGCTCTGCGCTTCTGTTTCACTGGGCTTGATGCGCGAATCCCAACTGCGATTGCGTCCCCCCTCCTCCCCTCTTCCCGCCCCTTGTTTTTTGGCTTGACAGGTTGTGCTGGAAGACAGGCGGTGGCGAAACACGAAAAAAAACGTCAGGTCCCCAGTGTTATCCCAACGAGCGGGGGGGAAATGGAAGGGAAGGGAAGGGGGAGAGCAGCCGTTTCGCTCATCCCTGGAGGATCATTTCACAGTGCGTGCATGAAAGCTTGCTTTGCGAGAGGAGTATTTTGTTTGAGACAGATTGCCAGCGACGGCTCCTCCGGGTTGGACGGCACGATAAGCTGATGCGCTCGTCGCGCGGCGCGGCGAGCGCGGAGTCGTGGGATGACGGAGGTGAGCAGGCCATGGGGTTGGCAGAGGCGCAATTGGCCCAGATGCATGGAGCGAGTCTCATCGTTGTTGTTGTTATTGTTGTTATTGTCGTCGGGCCCGTACCGGCTGAGGAGGGACAAGTGGTGTGCGTTGTCTCTGATGCGACGTGATAATAATGCGCGTGTGCGCTTGCGCCGTGCCGCGATGCGATGCGATGCGATGCGACAGAGTGGTCTTGCTGTGCGATGGGGAATGTGAATGCGCTTCGCATCCGATTCGGCGCCGACGGGGTTGGATTTAATGTGGGGCGGGAATCCGTTTTGTCCTCCGCTCTCGCTGGTGGTCTCCGTGAGTGTCGGAATCCTGCGCCGAGTGTGTGGTGCTGGGAAGTAAAACTGCTATGGTTAGATACCTGCTTATGCAAGCAATGACGGTTGTCGGTTTTGTTCTGTTGTAATATCGGAGCTACTGTTTTACGGACACTCCAAGAGTCGGGCACTTCCTGTGCATCGTAGTGGCGTTCTTCACGATGCATTTATGCTTGCCCAGCAAAGTTGATGGACAATTCACACCGAGTGTCAATGCAGATAGTCTTAGCCTAGACCAGTTGGTTTTCTAAGATATGAGTGGTTGCTTGACGGTAAGCATCAAATGGCCTACACGACAGCTGCGGAGACGATTCAGCGACTGATAAGCCCCGTCGAGCAGCTCGCAGGACTGACGGTGAGGACGGGAGCAAATAAACCCGCCAGTTCGACATCCAAGGCAGCCTACAGACTACCGGGGAATAGCAGGCCTTTTATTCACCGGTGTGGTTTCACGACCTGGGAAAGTCACCCCGGGATCCTCACGCCGACGATAATGGCGGGCGCTTTCCGTCGGCCACCCGCTATCTTGCCGAGCGCCGGATGGCGCATAGCTTGTCTGCTAATGTAAGGCGCAAAGGCGCAAGGCGTACAAGACGTGCGCCCAGTCGCAGAAGAGGAAAAATGTCGAGAGTTTTTTCGTGGGGTCCGCTTCCGACCGCCGCAGCGGGAATAAGCCCGGGCCCTACTACCGCGTCCGTTTCTCAGTCTCTCCGGTACCTTTCGGTTGTCGGAAGGGGCGATCTCGGCCGTCTGTTTTTACTAATACAAAGCTAGACTCCCACCGCTTCCAGCCTCTTTGGCCATGACAATTATATAACTTTTCCGATCTTTTTTGGACATTGTTGAACCGCTTTCTGGGCCACATATTATTGGGATAAATTCCTTCGATGGACTCCATGAACTTTTCGAAACAGATGTGTAATCATTTCAGCAGCTCCAAGTAATCAGCAGCTTGCTGTCGTTTAACAATGACCGAAACGACAGACATCGTCCGGAGCACCGTTGACGGCCCCGGACCGGCCAGCAACTCGGACAAGTGCCAAAATGGAGCGACAACCACAACTGCGGGCGCGCCTGACGACGTCCGAGAATGGTCCGCCGAGCATGACCTGGTGTACCCAGAAGGAGGTTGGACAGCATGGTCCCAGGTCCTAGCTGGCAACATGCTGAACGCGCTGGCATGGGGCTATCCGGCAACGTTCGGCGTCTACCAACTGTACTATACTGAGAAGCTGCACTTGCCGTCAGCCCAAATATCGTGGATTGGCTCGATTCAAATCTTCCTGACGTTTGCCATTTGTACAATCTCTGGCCGCCTGACGGATGCGGGATACGCACGGCAAGCGGTTCTCGTGGGCTGCACTGTTGTCGTCTTTGGCACCTTCATGACGAGTTTGTGCACCACATACTGGCAGATCATGCTCGCCCAGGGAATATGTACCGGTATGGGTTTGGGGGTGTTGTTCATGCCAAGCGTCGCCATCATCGGATCATACTTCAAAGAGAGACGATCTCTCGCGCTGGCCATCTCAGCCACAGGCACTGGCGTCGGCAGCTTGATCTTTCCCTCTACACTACAGTACCTTATCCCTCAGGTCGGATTCCCATGGGCTGTGCGCTGCTCTGCCTTCGTCGCACTCGCTGTTTCCATCATAGCAAACGTTTTGCTGCGTCCCAGACTTCCGCCCCGAAGATCTGGCCCATTTGTCGAGTGGGGAGCGTTTCGAGAAGCACCCTATATATTGTTCGCGCTGGGTGTCTTCCTCTATTTCATGGCGCTGTACTTTGGCTTCTTTTATGTGAGTCTTATGAACTGTGTGGCACTTATTCCAAGCGTCAAGCGTTAATCGTTGCGGTAGATCAACACTTACGCCCGAAAAGTCGTGGGGTTCTCAACGACGGAGTCTGTCTCTTTGCTTCTGATCACCAATGGTTTGGGCATCCCTAGTCGGCCAGTAGTTGGATACGTCGCCGACCGCTACCTCGGCCCAATCAATACCTTCATGCTGATGACGTTTATTCTGGGCTGCATGGAATTTGTCTGGATAGGGGTGAAGACGAGGACTGGCATGTATATTTTCAGCGTTTTCTTCGGCCTGTCCAACGGAGCAGCACAGGGCGTCTTCGTAGGCGCTTTGGCAAGCCTGACGGCTGACCCGCAGAAGATGGGGACGCGGTTTGGTATGATTGCGACGTTGTCCGGTTTCGCGTCTTTAGCTGGACCTCCAACGGCCGGTGCCATCATCGACAGGTCGGGAGGGCAGTATCTCGGAGCTCAGATCTGGGGCGGAGTGGTGATCATAGCAGGCTCGCTGACAGTAGGAGCGGCGAGGGTAGCCAAGGCAGGGAAAGCTTGGAGTGCCAAGTTGTAATGCAGGTAGAGAGACAGAGGCAGACGGACTGCAAATCATATGGTTGGTCATGGGAAATGGTATCTTGACAGAAGGCGGGTCGTAGAGTAACTCGGGGGAAATCCAAGCACATGTGGGATATGCGTAACGTAGAATGAACATGATTGATTGCGACATGAGCCACGAGTCTTAGCTCCTTCTCAATAACTCGAGCGCTTCGGAAAGCAACCTCGCAATCTGCTTGCCATCTTCCCAGACAAAGTCATGATCGTGGGTAAGGTTCTTAGTGACCGTGCACTCGACACCGTCATTCCTCAGCTTGGAGGCCATTCCATCAATCTCGGGCTCGTCGACCAGCGTGTCATCGGGGGACCAAGCCAGCATGATCAGCGGCTTTTTGGGCAATGCTTCCTTGAAGCTTCCGGGAAAAGTAGCGGGCACAACCTTGTTCCAGGCTGACTGATCGTTGCCAAAAGCACCAGCAATGAACTGCGTGTAGTTTTCGTCGTGACGACCATTGAAGGCATTCAGCTCATAGATGCCAGAAATTCCCACAATGGCCCTTGGCATTTGTACGTCGGGTGGAGGAGCGGCACCGAGGGAGGAGGATCCCATGGGGAGCTGGAGGGCGAGTGTAGCACCGGCCGAATGGCCCATGAGAATGTAGCGGTCCTGAATGTTGTATCGGCGCTGGAGGAAGGCGAGGGCCGACCAGATGTCACGGAGGTGGTCCGGATGTCGAGCGCAGCGGAGCTCCGCCGGCGCAGTGACAGCGGGGTCTTGCGGGAAGAGGGGGTGCGGGGAGAGGCGGTAGTCAATGCTGATGAAGCCGCGGATCTCATTCTTGGGAACAGAGGAGGCCTTGACGATTTCTCGGATGGAAGGTGTGAAGTCCTGGAAGGTCTTCCGGGGGTCTCGCCAAGCACCACCATGGATCCAACTAGTCGAATATGTGAGCTAGCGAAGCTGTCGTGATAAGAACGAGTGGCACTCACATGACCCAGTATTTGGACACATCGTCGGTGGCAACAGGGTACTCCCAGACGCCTAGCTTCTGAAGCTCATTGTCGGGAGTATAATGATGCTCACTATACTTCAACGAGACCGGCATGATGAGTTCTAGTTGAGGTCGAATTATTGTCGATGGGCGGGCGTCTTGTCGCAGTTTCTGTGAGATCAACGCTGGGTGCCACCAGGTAGAGCACCTGGAGAGAGAAAGCGAGAGAGCGATAAGCCGCAACGCAGGCCACAGAGCAGACCTGAGGGGGGAACGGTTCCGAGAGTCTGGAATTCTCCGGGATAAATGCTTGGCAATGGTCGTCGAGGCTTCGGGATGGTGAGACGCTGCGTCAGGCGTCAGTGCGACCGGTTGTTTTGTTGCGCGCGACTTTCTTCACAGTTTGGCGGTGGTTGCTGATTGGAGTTCAGCGATAGCGAACCTCAAAGAATGGAAAGTGTGGGTGGGGTTCCGTCTTGCTCTGGCCGTCCAGTCTCCGTGCTCCCGTCCCTGCATCGGCGTCTGAAAGGAACCGTTTCAGGTCATCCCAACTGGGGAGTGACAGCCGGCGCACGGAGCACTTCCCCGTCCAAGTTTCCGTAAGGTACGGTACCTGCCCACAGTTCCTATACCTAAGGTAGCTATATGCACCTTAGGGGGGGCGGGCACCTTACCTTACCTTTTGGTTTTTGGTTCATCTTTCCTCGACCTTTCAAACCCAGATATCAACCTGGGTGTGTTGACTCCCGTTGTGCCAGTCCTCGGATAAAGGGGCATCTTATCACGTCAGTTGTCAGTATTCCTCGCTCGCCAATCGGTATTTGCTTCGTCCCAACCCCATCACTCGACAACACAGCCGCCTCGTACACTCGCTCCACAAGATTCGCCAAATCGTCCACGCAGATCAATCGTGACTCTGGACTGGCCGTGGATCTGAATCTGCAGAGAACGTGAGGCTCAAGCGCATACTATGTAAATAAGTCGCGGCCAGCCGCTGGGTTACACCCAAAGTGGCACAGTCTGGCGACGCCATCACATCAACGTCGCTTTGGCTACTCTACGGGTAGCAGAGAGCCGCAAAAAGCCTTTACCAACCTGGAACGTCAGCACTCATGCCATACGGACAGCAGTCCCGTTTGTTGGATTTTCGATGGCCTGATTGCGGAAGGATGCCGGGCTCGGTTAGGGGATGTTGGCCGTTGGTGCAGCGTTACATTCAAGCATCAGACAACCCTCGTTCAGTCGTCCACGGGTGACACCATCGATTCTACAAATACCACAAGCCTTAACACGCAGAGCGGCAGACCGGAGCCGGCTTTTCGTCCCGACTATGCACGGCAAAGCTCGCGCATGCCATACACCAACGTCCCGAGTTTTATTCAGGGGGGAAAGATGCGAGACCGGCATAAGGAGGCACATGGTGGAGGGCAGAGTTTGATGTTTTAATATCCGGGTGATGATCTGAACCAAACTTCAACGAGTCCCTTACTTCTGCCGAGGCCACAGCAAAACTCTCGGGCTTCGCGCAGCTCAGTCACTGTGGAACCGGACCAGCGAATGTTGAACAAGCCTCGGCCGAGACCTTCCAGATTTCACAGTGAGGAGCCGCGAGAGGTTTCGAGATGTGGGAATCGGATAGGTATCCGCAGGGCCAGCCGCCAGCCCACATACCTTGAACAGGCGACATGAACATTCTTTGTCGGAGACAGAGGCCCTTGGAGGCTGACACGATTGCTCATGGGTAGCGATTCCTCCTGCCTATTCCTTCTGTCTGTCCACCGCCGCAGATGGCTCGCGTCGGGCTCTATGGCACCATCGGCTCCTCTGACCCCAAGCTGCCGGGGTAGTTGGTGCTGGCCGCGGTCTGGACGCAACTGAAGTATTGTGGTACTTGATCGCGTGCTGAGAGCTCCAGAGAAAACCAAGTATCCGTAGCATGGACAGACGCAGCTCTCTCTTAGGTCTTCGTACCTTGGCTGCATGTTGCCCATGCGAGCAATGCACGCCGACAGGAACCACTCCTGCGGCCGCTCTCGCAGACGAGAAGCAAGACAACATAACCGGCGCTGGGCACAGACGGTGCAGAAGATGAAGTAGGGCCTTGGTTTGAAGAATCATTCGACCTTCGTCATCGTCTTTTTCCTTCCATTCCGCTTCTAGAGCCAAGTCCGTGCCTTGACCCCGTTGTCCTTTTTTTGTCAATCGACAGATGCGAACCACTACTTAACACAGCGATAGCACTCGCCCTGCAATATTGATGATGAGTTCCACATTCGATCCTTCGGGCGTGCAAATTCACTCGTACGCGCAACTTTCCTTGCAAGGCACAAGTCCATCGTCAATGGTGGCGGAGGACGCGGGACCCGACTCTCACCCCAGGCTACATACCAGACAGCTTCGCCCATGATCCATCACGGAGAATGAGGGCAACCGGGCATTAGATGCCCTCCTTCTCCGAGTGCTGGCCACCCTCCACCCCCGCCGGACCACCTGTCACTGACGGCAAGCTTTTGGCAATCTCTCATCTCCAGCATTCGTGGCTGACGGGCAGTAGCGAAATCTCCTTTCCCCAAGACTCATCAATCAAAATCAGTACTTGCCAGCACGCTATTAACCGAGAGCGGAGCGGCGTTGTTTTGTCAAGATGCAGCAAGGACCTTTTGCTGGCACCAGCACAACCTTCACAGACCCTAGGACGTGATGGTGGATCACCTAGCAGGCTCCAGAATGTCTCCGTTCTCGAATTACCCCGAATCGAAAGCGCGGTTCTCTTCATCTACCGGCGGCCCTGCTCATCTGCGATTCATCGACACATGCAAAAGTGCTGTCGCCTTTGAGGTAATACGAATCAGCCGTCGAATGGATGAGATGCAATGGTTGAAATGGTTCCTCGGTCCTCTGACGATCCGGGTCCATCCCCGCCCAGCTCGGGATGGACACCAACAAGTCGCAACACACACAGCCCAGACAGGGGTAGGCGCGTCTTTTTGCTTTTGCCTTCTCGGTTTCTTGGCTTTATTGCAGCTCTCCCGTCCGCTGTCTCCATCTTCAATGCTCCCCCGACCAAACTTGTGTTACGTCCAAGTTGCTTTTTGATCTTCCACTGGCCAGCTTACAACGCGGGAAGGGCAAGGAAGCCAACCCTCCTCCCTCCATGGTTGAGTTGGATTGGATGCGAACGCCGACCAGTTTGCTACCCAAGCTTGAATTGTCCAACCAGATGTTGCCGCTTCGTTGCTTCTTGCTTCCGCCAACTACATCGTTCGGGTCGTCGTAGCCGACTGCTTCACGCAACTCGACTGGCTTGCCAGATGTCCTCCCCCTCATGATGCCGCGCCAACCTCTAGTGCAGTTTACCCTCGTCGGCATGCCTTTACTACACTTCAGCAATTCGTGCGGTTCACTAGCGCGCATTATATTGCACGGCTGGTGTCCAGGGATGATCCAAATCGCTGGGTCCGACCAAAGATTCGTCTGCCATGTCTAGCGGGCCATTTTCCATGTTTTGACCCAGAGCCGTCGGTCCAGAATCGATCCTTGACTTCTAGCTTGATTGCTAGGCCCATCGTGGCGGGGATGAGGCCCGGTCGACGCCAACTGGAGGTAAGTGAGAGATGAACAACATCGGCCAAGCTTAGTAGCCTGCGGCGTTGGTCCGTCAATGTCTCGCGGGGCAGCACCGGGTTGCCTTGATGAAGATTTTATCTCTAGAGTGAATGAGATCTCGGCTAACGCCTGTTATCCTTCCTGTTGTTGGAACAGGTTTGCTGCAGATGTCTCAGCAGAGAAGAGGCACAGCAACACGCCACCTCACACTGGGTTGCCTGTTAGTGTTGACCATGACAATCTCTTCCTTCAGTCATTGGCACCGATGTGCACATCCCAGAAAGGGTGCGAGGTGCTCGAACCAAGGAGACGACCTGCAGACAAGGCTAGTTCGTTTCTCTGTGTCGTCGGGAGGGTACTTCTGTCTACCCGATCATGCCTGGGCCCGGGGTCTCCATCGCTGTGCGTCGTTCCTGCAGCCCTCATCACGTACTATGTGTAGGTACGTGAGACGGACGCAGGTGCAAATTACAGCCGCAGACTGTGGCCCGGCCTGAGTAGTGTCAGCGATTGCAACGCATTTCTTCGTCTTCCATCACGCCGGAAACGCAAGCTGTAGTCATCGCTACCGGTCATGAACTTCCTCTACCCACATCGACCAAAATCAGTCCCCGCTCCAACGTAGGGAGCCTTGCAATCGCCTACAAGCCTTCACACCCTCTGTGTACCACTACGTGCACAAAAAAAAGTACAGAAACTACGAGTCAAAGAAGCCAAGATTCCCGCCTGGCCAGGTCTCTGAAGTCCCACTGACTCTCTGCCCTCCTTCACCACCATCACCATGCAGCCGGACCGGACTGGCGCACGTCTGTACCCCCGTCTCTCTCCACATGTCGACCCTGTCCTACCGGGGCCCATCTCCGGGGGTCTCAGACTCGGCGACCCTCTCTCGTCCGTCTTGAGCAAGTTAGGATTCTAGCCCACGAACCTTTTCAGCCCGAACCGGGACGACCCCTGGCAGTCCAGCACCGTCTATCGTGGTTGATCAGCTTAAATCCCATCGGGCCGCATATGTTACCACCCCAGCCTGCTTCCCTTCTCTTTCCTCTCGTTTGGCCATGCTCTTCTCCCATTGTCATTCCTTAGAGCATCGCAGTGCCACAGCCCTATGGCTGAGGTAGACTTGTCAGAGAGCAATGGTGGTGCTCTTGTAGCCACCGCCGTTACATTCCTTATTCTCTCTTGGTTCTCTGTCGTTCTCCGCGTCTATGTTCGTGCTTTCATGACCAAGGGTTTCCAAGCAGATGACTGGCTCATGCTTGTTGCCCAGGTAAGTCTCGCCTGCCCCAGTGCGTGCAGTGATTTACCCTAACCAGATGGACGAAGGCAATCTTTACCCTTTCTTGCGCTTTCATTCTCGTGGGCGTGCGTGATGGGCTGGGCCATCACAACGTAGCACTCCAGCAGAAGGAAGAGATATCGGCTTTAATGGTATGTTACTCTTGGCGCTTCAGTAAGCATCCAGCCTAACATTTATGTGCAGTACCAAGCTCTCGCCACGGCAACATATGTCCTTAACATGCTCTTCATCAAGCTGAGCATCGGGTTCTTCCTGTTGCGACTGTCGACTTCCAAGGTTTACAACTGGATAATCTACGTCAGTCTGGCGATTATTACTGTCTGGAGCACTGTTATCTTCTTCTGGAATATATTCCAATGCTCTCCGGTAGAGGCGCAATGGGACTACACAATCTTGAACTCCCAGTGCGTGTCGCCAAACGCGGTTGTAGCAGCAGCCTACTCAATCAGCGTCATGACTATCCTGAGCGACTGGCTTTACGTGAGTTCAGTCTATGATTTAATGGCGTTTATATGTACAAAAGCAATTGCTGACTTTGCAGGCTCTGATTCCTATCCCTCTTATCTGGAATGTCAAGATGTCGAAGCAGGCCAAAGCTACCGTGATTGTGATTCTTGGCCTGGGTATCTTGTAAGTTGACCGAGCCTCCGTAAGATAGACGCTGAGCTAACCGGTCAACAGCGCTAGCATCGCCACGTTGATCAGACTCAAGTTCCTCGCTGACCTGAGCGACTTGAGTGACATTTTATGTAGGCTGTCCATCCAGCCTTGGACATGGATCCGAGGAGCCAGTATAAATCGCCCACGCATAGATTATGCTGACCTCGCTTACAGTCATGGGAACCGACGCCATGGTGTGGACTCTTGTCGAACCGGGCGTCGCAATCGTCGCGTCGAGTCTTGTTACCATCCGACCTCTCCTCCGAGCCTGGCGACTCAATGGATTTACATCTACCGACCGAACGCCGGGAATGAGCAACATGAGCGGGGGCATGAGATCAGGGCCCATGAGATCGGGAACAACAAGGTCGGTGCGCCGCCTGCCTGGGTATGATCTCGACGACATCGACAACATGGAAATGGGCGGCTTCGGAAAACATGACGGCGAGATCGGCTCGATGCCTCGTGAGCCCACATTCGCGGCTGTATCAAAAGAGGTGGATGGAGGACAGCTCACACCCGATTTCAAGGCACCGCCGGACCGGAGAAGGACGGACGTCGTCAAGAGCGAGATGTACATTATAGAAGGAGCGAATAAGTCTGGGAATACCTGGAGAGGAGGGAGCGGTTCTCCGAGCACATCTTCAGTGGAACTCGACGGCCTTGACGCGCAGAGCCAGCATAGCGGCCGGGTTGGTCTTGGGAGGAGTAATTGAAACGAATTGGAGAGAATAATCCACGACGATACCGACATTATCAAACTTGTGCTATATTTATACGGGACTCACGGATAAAGGGGACATCCCGCTTCATCTGGGGGAAAGTGGTTACGGCCGCGAAACGCGGAGGAATCGCACAAAATCTTGGGTATTAGTAGGCCAGGAACTTCAAAGATAGAGTGTAGATGTATTTTGTATTACATGATTTCTACGCGGCCACCTCCGGCCAAGATCAATTTGGCCAAACAACGATATCAGACGCTGTGAACTGAATAGCAGGCAATACCAGGCTGGTTCAAAACTCAGAATGGATTCTGTTTGTACGCCTTCTCAGATTCCGCGTATGCGTCATAAGCATACAAGAACCTCTGTATCTCAGGACAGGTCCACCGCGAAGGGAAGCCAGGTTCGGGTTCCTTCCCAGGCTCTAGCGACGCCACCATGACCTCGTCGCGATGTTCTTGCTCTGGGCCATCCATCATATGAAAGTCATCGCGCTGGCGAAAGGATTCCATGACGATGCGCTGGCCGCGGCCCATGCGGAGGCTTTGATACATCGCCGCCGCCGCAGGAAGTTGCGCGGCCCTCGTCTCTCGGCTGCTCACTTTTCCAAGGAGATATCCCAGAACAGCTCCATCTTCCAGGGACGAGTTCGCGCCTTGTGCGAGGTAAGGAAGCATCGGGTGACAGCAGTCACCAGCCATGAAGAATTTGCCTTCAGGACTCGCCCATTCCTCCAGCGGCTCGATCCAGCAGAGCTTCCATTTGTGTACGCTCTCGACCTGGTCCAGAAGCTTGCGCAGGAGTGGATCCCATTTCGAGAAGAGCGAGCGCATCTCCTCAACGTCGCCCACGACCTTGGTTGACCCTTCGGGGAGGTTGTCGGGCGACAAAAGACCGAGGTTGAGCATGCGGCCTTGCTTGACGGTATACGAGACCCCATGGCCCTGCGGACCGATCCAGAAGTTAACCGTCTCAGACTTGATGAACGCCTCGAGCTCCTCTTTGTGGGGGCCTTTGAGCGAGTCGATAGGTATCGCAATGCGAAATGCCAGGTCGCCGGTCAGCGCGGGCGGGCTGGGACGGCCGAGGAACTGAGCCCGGGTGGTGCTCCACATGCCATCTGCGCAGACGATAACATCGCCAGACACGATGATGCCAGGGCCGGACTTTGAGTCGTCCTCTATCGTGACTTCAGCGCGGTCGAAGTCGACAGAGACTGCTCGGGAGTCCAAACGAATCTCGACCCCGAGCGCCTCGCAGCGATCGACGAGGGCGCGCTGTAGCTCGACGCGGTGAAGGCCCCAGAAGGGATGGCCGTAGCGAGCTTCGATTGTTTGTTGAAGTTCGGGTTCGTGGGCAAGGAGGCGGCTGCCGTCATAGCGGTGGACGGAAAGAGTTGAAGGAAGGGTCGCGAGAGGTGCCAGAGCCGGGTAAAGGCCCCAAGCTTCGAGCAAGCGGGTTGCGTTGGGCGTGAGTTGTAAGCCAGCCTGGGAAGTGTAAGCAACGGAGTGTCTCGTGGGGTTTGAAAAATTCGCACCCCGACTTCTTGAAGCTCTTTGACCGTCTCGAGTATTGTTACTCGGTGGGATGGATTCGCAATCTTGGTCGCGAGAGCTGTCGCAAGACCTGCCAGACCGGCGCCAATGATGACGACATGCAGAGGTCCCGACACAGCGGACCCCGATTCTCTACTCATCTCGGACAGTTGAGGGCATTCGCGACTTCTTGCCGTGAAATCAATTGCGGTCGTAAAGCTTGGGGGCTTAAGGGTCGCACAGCGCTTAGACTGATATTCTTCTCTTTGGGTTCGTCTCCTCTTTCCAACACCACCGCAAGGAGCAAGTGGTGGTAAAAGGAAGGAAAATAGACCATTTCGACAATAGGGATAAATCGTACGCCGCAGTAAGCGCTGTCGTCGTGGCTTGGGTCACGGAGTATATGCGGGTTGTGGGGAAGGCCGACGGGACGACGCCGTCCCTCGTGTTCGTCCCATTAGCTACGGTCCGAACTAAAGTAGGGTAGGGTATCTTTCTGTCCTTTTTTGGGTGTCTATCCGCTTTCACCCCGTAGCCCCCGTACATCTGTACATCTGATCAACGCAACGTGCTTTTCCTTTACACCAGGTATGTCTTGCGGAACTAGCCGCATCCAACGACGGTGCGTGCAGTGTAATCCTCATATCGATGTTCCTCAGCCCGAATCTTCGGGAATAATAAGATCCTCCGGATCGACAACCCAGTCTTCCTCATCGCCCCAGGTCGGAGCGAGAACGAATCTGCCCATGATCTTGCCCATGCCAATACTATCACCGCCAACAACTCCCTGCCTCGTTTTCTCGTCTGACTCCTCCACAATCACCGCCGTCGTCAAGAAGTTCATACCTGCGGCGGGACTGAGCTCCAAAGTGCGGCCACCCCAATCCAGCTCGACTTTGCCTGATTTGCGGACCTTGAGCTTGCCCATCATGCCAGCTTGCGAGACGAGCTGAGAAACATCTGTAAGATCAATATTCTTGTCGACTTCTTCCGTCTTTGGCTTGATGTTTTCATCCGATTTGGTGAGATCGACCGATCCTCCGTTCGGCTGATCGAGCATGACAACATCGTCTGGCTCGGGCTTGACCTTTGGAGCGGCAGAAGGATGCAGTGGCGGAAGGAGAGGGGGGAATTGGAATAGGTAGAGTCGGCCGTCCTTGTCTTGCACAGCGCCATTCTCAGGTGCTTTTGAGTTCTCGTCCGAGACGGTTCCCAACTCGCTCAGCAGGAGCTGCATGTCCTGTGCGATCATGTCCACCTCAGGATCAGCCAATGCCTTCTTGACCTTCGGTTCAGGTGTAGGCTTCTCCTCAGCCTCGGTGTCTGCTGACTTGACGATGCTGAGATCAACCTCCATAGCACCTGACTCGGCTCCCGGCTCTGCCTTGACCTGAACCGCACCTTTGGGTGCTGCATGCCAGACCTTCGTCTCCTCGCCGACCTGGGGCGTAGGGCCAGACCATGGGCCATCTTCGACCCAGAGACTTTCTTCCGCCTTGCCGTCTTCAGCAGCCTCGAGCTCAGCTGTTGTCGCAATAACCTTCTTTTCTTCCTTTTTGTCGATTCGCGCGATGCCCATGGGCCAGATGTTATCAGGCTTTGAGTTCACCAGGGCTGCCGTCGCTTCGTCATCGGAATCGGGTTCTCGGTCAACCAGGTGTCCGGCGAGTCTATCGGCATTGATTCTAGCTTCGCGACGACCAGATGCTTCCCCAAAGGCACCCCGTTCGCTCTTAGCACGGCCGCCTCCGCCGAAGAATCCACCGCCAGAACCACCACCGCCGCCGCCACCTCCCCATCCGCCAGAGGATCTTGAGCCTCCTACGACCGAGTCAGTACGTTTACCCATGAATTTTCCATATCCAAGCATACCTTCAAAGTGTATTTGCGAGAAAGGGCCACTTGCAACGGCAGTTCGGCCCATCATTCCGCCTCTGCCCATGGCATCTCCTCGAGCTCTCCGACTGCGACCGCGGGAACGAGCTTGAGCGCGAGCCTCTGCCTTGGCCCTCGCATTATCTTTGTCCTGCTCTTGTCGAGCGAGGACGTCTCGCGACGCCTCATCTCTGCGGACGACTCTGGGTCGAAATCTGCCTGCCGAGGTACCTCGTGTGGGTTGCCGCGTTGCGGGCTCGGATCTGGAGGGTGTGACGGTTGCTGAAGTGGTTTCAAGGGCCGAAGAAGGTCTCGAAGGCGGCGCAGGAGTGTCGCCGCTGGGTGTAGAACTAGAAGCTTGGCGGCCTCCTCTGCCTCTGGCGGCTCCTCGTCCGCGGGCTCTGCTGGCGCCCCGAGCCGGGGTAGTACCCTCGGGCATTGTGATTGGCTGCTCTATGTGCTGATTGTGGCTCAGAAGGACAATGAGTGGATGAATATGTATAGTACAAGAGAAATTGTCGGCCTCGAGTCTTATGGTAGGGTCGTCGAAGTCATGAATGAAGTCTGTATGTCTCCAGCAAGGAAAAAAAAAAAAAAAAAAAAAAAGATGGTTGATTACTTAGCGCGGTGGGGGACTAGGTAGGTAAGTAAGAGTCGGGCGCCTCGTAATTTTTAAGGGAAGTTCCAGTCGAGGTGCTGCACGCATGGTGGGGTGAGTCAACCACCCCGCGCGGGTCGCAGTCGCAGTGAAGACAACAGTGGGCTTACCAGGTTCCTAGGTATGTAGGTGCCTAGGTATGGAGGGGTAGTGAAGCACGGGAAGACGGACATTCAACCAATGTCACCTATTCTCGATCAGCTCGAATCAATGATCTTGAATTAATTTCTGGATGGTTTTAAATATTTGAATAAATACACCTTCACTTCACACACATCAACGCTTGGTCTCCGAAGATTCTGGTAATGTTGCCTTCCCGGGATAACATGCTTCCAATCCACAAGCGGCCGGCCTCGACAGTGCTCGCTCCAAACTTGACAATGACACAACCCCGTACTCTGGCCGCTGACCACAAGATGCTCTGCTTCGTTTCCATTTCTATGCGCTTCAGTCGCCATAACTCAGCCTCGCTCAGATTGCTTTCCTCTTCCGCGCGCACCTCTGCAGACCTGAAATCTCTTGCGCCCAAGCGGGGTAGTGCTGAAAACTCGTCAAGGAAAAAGTTGCCAACAGACTGCATTTGCGGGCCGCGAAGGATGAGAGTACCAAACAACCCGTTGCCATGCATCGATTCTCGCAATGATCTCCCGACCATGCCCTGGCTGCTCCTGTCCAAAATGACTGTGTCTCTCACGAGCAGACGCTTCTTGCTTCCTGGGGTCTCTGAAGAGGACCAAATCTCGTTGCGCCCAGACCATTTGACGAAACTCCAATCCTCGCCTCGCGCCGTTCTGCCTTGTGTCACCCAATCCAGCAGACACAGAGAGGCAGTCGGTGCTGCTGTAAAGATTTGAGTTTGTTCGTATACGCTTCCGTCAAAGGGCTGCACAGGATCAGGCAGGAGGCAGAGACCGGCCTCTTCGCCAATGTTGACCTCGAGCTTCTGGCGCGTGACGACGTCAGGAGACGGTGATTTGAAGATCTTGGTGTGACCCTGGGTGACAACACCGAGCTTCGCATGTGGGAGCACACGCATAGACAGGTTCACGCTGTCGCCTCCAACGAGTCCGCCGCCGTAAGACAAGAGGAACACCAGGACACATTTCTGGTCGGCCGCTGGGGAGGGGGAGATGAGTTTCAGTGGATACTGGTATGACATGGCCTGCAAGCCCGAGAGCCCGTTTGGCAATAACTGAGCAACGATTTCGCCCTCCCCAGCAGCCGACGAGGACTTTGGGAATGGCGAGCCCATGGTTGCTAATGTTGCGGCGTAGAAGTCGTTGATCGCTATATAGGGGCTTGTCAGGAAAAGTCCGTCAGGTCATTGTTGATGCAAGAGGCACACGCGATTTCGGCTACCAAAGGTCATCAGAAGAAGCCGACGGAACAAGCAGCAGAGCAGCATTGATCGGCCTGGTCAATGGGAAGAATGAGTATGTTGCTCACCTGAAGTGTCCGTTATTAGGTCTATTATAAAACGCGGAGGTTCTAAGGTTACGATGCCGGCCTTTGGATTGCACTGACTTGCATTTATCACTTTGTAGACTTTGCCTGGTATCTATCTATCTTAGTGGCATTGAAAAGTCAAGTTGCGGAGCACGTACTGTGCAGTTGCCGTCACCCTGACCCCTGCGTCTTGTTAAAATGCTGTGAGTCGAGTCTCATACTTTCATTTCTCTGTACTGTGCATCTGCTGCAAGCCATTGCCTCCCCAACCATTGAGCATTAGAGTCACCATACTCATGGCATCTAAACGAGTTCCATGATGTTCTCTCGCATCCAGCCGCACTCATGGCGCATTCGGTTTTAATTGCGGAAACAGAGTCGCAGGCGCATCCAAGACGTGACAGCAGGGTTAGGGTGAGTACGTACCTAATGGCACCTCTGAGGCAATGTTCCCCAGGGGCTGTCACAGTGTCCATGCTCCCACTTGATATGACACGCACAGTACCGCAGCTGCTCGATCCACAGTTCTCCCACCCGCGAATTTGGAGAACTATTGCCTAAACATCTTCAACCGACACGCATTGCCTGAACGCGACATTTTCCCTTGTATGCGCCACCTCCCCGACCCTTCGCTCATCGGCGCGAAATAATTGTCGCGACTGCTGCGATCATTTACACGCTCCAGCAATCATTTCGCAAACGCGCGACAACATGGAAAGCGCGACAGCATCTCCCGAGCCCGAGTCCTCGTCGCGTCGCCGGTCCGGACGCGTCGTGCGAGCCCCCGAGAAGTTCAGCCCAGAGCCTGTGACCGCACCAAAGCGCAAGAGAGGCCCCGATCACGATGAGGACGACGAAGAAAATGACGATAACGAGCCCCTGTCCGATGCCACGATGACCGATGGCGACAGCGCCGACGAACGTCCCCGCCCTAGGCCCAAGAAGCGATCTGCTGCTGCACAAGGAAACCGCGTAAAGAAACCCGCCACTAAGAAGCCAAAGACCAATGGTGTAGGCCCATCTGGTCACTCCGCGAGCCTGCCATCACGTCCCAAGAAGACGGTCAGAATCGCTGCCGTCGACAAGGAAGGCAGTGGCCTATATGGTATGCAGCATCCCTGGAATGTAGCTCTGCTTTCCATCACCTGACACTGACATGCCTCTGCAGCGGAGGTCTTTGGCTCTGGTTTGCCCTCTGAACACGTTGCGGATAAATGGCAAGAGAGGTACCAAAGGAATGATGCCCTCGCCATTGTCGAACTCGTCAACCTCGTCCTGCAAGCATCTGGCTGCGACCTCGAGATCACTGAGGACGATGTTCGCGACCCTGACAACTGTCAAGCTCGTCTTACTGAGCTTCAAGATCTTTTCCAGGAGGTAAGCTGCTATCACCCTGTCCGATTTGTCTTGTTGGTCAACTCTTTTGCTGACATCGTGAAGGAACAAGTCACAGAATATCCCCTCATCTCCAGGGCAAAGAATACCAAAGCCTTCCGTGACCTTCTCACAGGCTTTTTTAAATCTGTCGTCCGCAGTGTTCACGATACAGATGTCCTCTACAACGACCAGACTCTGATGGAGAACCTCGTGCGCTGGATAGCATCCATGTCAACTTCGTCGCTTCGTCCCTACCGTCACACAGCTACTACAGTCATTCTCTCCCTGGTGTACGGGCTGATCGAGGTCGCTACAACCCTTGATGCGCGCATCACGGCAATTGAACAGCAGGTTGCTCAAGCCAAGAGAGGCAAGAACAAGGCAAAGCTTGCAGAAATGCAGCACAGCCTTGACGAGGCCAACAACAACAGAGAGTTGTGCGGCCACCATATCAAGGACTTCTTCGATACCACGTTTATCCACAGATACCGAGATATTGATCCACGTATCCGGACAGAATGTGTCGAAGCACTTGGATCCTGGATCCTGGGTCTTCCCACAGTCTTCATGCAGCCGGAATACCTTCGTTACCTGGGATGGATGCTTTCTGACACGGTTGCTTCAACGCGACAGGAAGTCTTGAGACAACTTGCACGTATTTTCAGACGTGGTATCTCACAACTTGGTCACTTCATTGACCGATTCCGCCCTCGCCTCATTGAAATCGCGACGAAGGACGCTGAGGTTTCCGTGCGCGTGGCAGCCGTGAGCGTCATTAATGTTCTCCGGGATGCCGGAATGCTCGAACCGGAAGAAATGGATACCATTGGCAAGTTGATATACGACAGCGATATCCGAATTCGTAAATCAGTAGTGAGCTTCTTCGTGTCTTGCGTTGAAGACTTCATCACTACCAAATTGGAGGAACTCGGCGGCCAGGATGCGCTGGATGAAGTTTTCGGCGAGATTGAAGAGGACGACTACGACTCGCCTCGCAGCACGTGGGTCAATATCAAGTGCTTGGCAGAGACACTTGCGGCATACGACGAACAGCTTGAGGGTGAACAGCAAGACGCGAACCCTCAAGGTTTAGCCGTAGCCGCCGACGTTCTTCAAGCAAGCGTGCCTGATACTAGGATATCACTCGCTGCTCAGGTGCTCTTCGACAAGGTTCCGTTCGTCAAGGAGTGGGAAGTCCTGTCCGGCTATCTGCTTTACGATCATACCGTCAGTTCCAAGTCGAGATCCAAGAGTGCCTCTACGGAAACGGCCTTTAAGAAAGCTGTTGGTCCTGTGGGTTCTGAGGAGGCCATTCTTCTGGAGGTTCTCGCTTCTGCAGTAAAAATGTCCTTGTTACAGTCGGCAGAAGCTGAAAAGGCTAGGAAGAGGGGCGGACGCTCCGAAGTCGCCGAGGCACAAGAGGACACTGCTCTGGATCTCGCGACGGCCATCCCTCAACTTCTCAACAAGTTCGGAGCTGATCCTGCCACGGCGACTATTGTTCTCAGAATGGAGCACTTTCTCGACCTCGAGGTTTTCCAAACACTGCGGCAGGATTCGACAAAATACGAGAAGCTGCTGGATGAGATCAGCACTCAATTCAACAGACACGATGATAAGAGAGTCATTGCCGAAGCGGCTGCTGCTCTTCTTCATTCTCGACAATATGAAGAGCTTGAGGAACTCACTGATGGAAAGCTTGCTGTGCTATGGGAGAATGTCATTACAACTATACGTGGCTTCGACAAGACATGTGAGCTTTCCATCAGAGGCAATCTTGAGGCAGAGCATCTCACAGCGCTGTCTACTGTTCTCATGAAGATTAGTGAGCTTGCTCGCATCTCTGACCCTGTCGAGATCCTGGAGGCCGAAGGTCGGGCGGCCGATTCCATGTCGTCGTCGATCGAGATCCTGATCAACATCGCCAACCGCGGCACGTTCGATGACCCTAACGAGGAATTGGACGACTTGGAAGACGAGGTCGCGTCCTTTGCGATTAAAGCTACCCAGTTCTACTTCATGTGGAAGGTAAAGAGCCTCGAAAAAGTCATTCACAGCGGTGCCGAGATCTCCGATGCTGTCGTGGATGAGTTATCCGTCTTGCGCAAAAAGTACGATACCAACTTGATCAAGACTCTTTCGTCGCGAGCCGTCATTGATGACACTCGTCTTTTTGCCGCTGGCGCCCTATGCGACGTTCATGTTCTTTTCGGCACTCTGCGCAACTTTGTTGAGCCCACTCGCGGCACCGCGACGTATAGGAAGCTTGCGGGCCTCATGCGTGAACTTGAGCCGAGGCTCTTACCGGAGCTCATCTCCATCTACGACGGTATCGAGAAGAGCTACGCGAAGAGAACGAAGAAGACGCTCAACGAGCCGGCGGATGACGAGGAGCCCATGGATGATGATGATTCTGACGATGAGGAAGACGACGATGAGACTCTTAGCTTTGAAGAGCGTCTCGCTCTGGAACTCAAGTCCGAGAAGGCTCTTTGCGAGTTGGCAGCCAAGTACGTCTTGGCTGTCGTGCAAAAGGTCCTGGACCAGTCAGGTCCCCATGCCGGAAAACTTCGCAAGCGGCTCCTTCGAAACCAGACCCGGCTGGGGAAAAATTTTAGCGAAGTCGTTGCTTTCCTTGACGAGAACAAAGTCCGAGAACATCTTTACGGCAAGAAGCAGGCTCAACGGGCAAAGACTATCGTGGCGAAGCCAGCATCCAAGAAGCCAGCGCGGAGTGAGGAAGTTGTCGTCGAAGATGAAGAAGAAGAGGACGGGCTTGAGGAGCCCGAGCCAGAGCCGGAAGAGGGTTCAAGAGAAGACCTACGCCGGCGCGAACTACTGGAGGAGGAAGAGGAAGAGGAAGAGCCGGAGCCAGAGGAAGCTCCAGCTAATAATGATGCCGATGACGACGATGTATTGGGTGACTAGCCGGGCTTTCAACCTGTTTATCATTTTGTTTCTGTGCTCTGCCCACGTACGGTGTCTGGGACTTCTACCAGCCGTCTCCCGTGTCCTGTTGATGCGGACTTCGTGCCTCGGTTGACGATGTTGTGGGCAGTCTTAGCATCGCTCCTATGGGGGGAGGATAATGTTTAGGCTGCGACGGCGAACTAAGGCGCCCACTAGGATGGCTCACTCTACTGGCTTTGCGGCGTTGGAAGGATGAAAAGATGGTTAGCTCTCCTAGTAGCTAATTCGACACGATTTCATTGTAAACAAGACATCACCCCTCGGGCCCTCTCGATGTGCTCCAATACGATGCCAACAGTCATTAGTCGTAGTCTCAACCTGCCCAATTTATCCCTACGCCATATATCCTTGAGTGAGTATCCATGGTCCCGTTTCATTCCCGTTCCGTTCCATTATCCACCACATATCTTGGTCCCAAAAAGTCCAAACACCCGTTCCCATCGCTTGCCAAATCCCGCGTCTGCTTTCGTTTCGTTGGGCTCCTTTACCTGCACACCATACTGACGCACGCAGCAAGTAAAGGGCCGGTTGGAAACAGTTTTGTCGGTAGCCCCCTTCCCAGACGGCTTGTCGATCATCTCAGCGTCGGAGCTATCCAACGGTGGTCGATCGCTGGGGGTCTTGTTGCTTGCCTTGGTCTTTTTCTTATTACCGGCATCAATGAGCGCCTTGGATTTCTTCTCTTCAAGATCACCCCAGAGAATGAACATCTTCTCGCGCAGCTTGAATAGCTCATCAGGGTCAGTGCGAAGATTGCAGGCGTCAAGGCCCGTTAGAAGCTGAGCTTCGAGGTTGTCGACCAGAACCCAGAAGGTGTTGTTCTTTGTGCCTGGGCTGTGCTTCTTGCCAGCCGTCGTGAATGTCGCTTCTTGGAGGCGTAGAGCAAAGCGCCACTCCCAGACGCGCTCGCCGACGAAGTTGTCTAGAGTCCCTCCATCTTCCTCTTCTGAATTCGAGTCTGACTCGGAGTCTGAATTATCAGACAATATGTCGTATTCTGTTCTTTTGCGGCCGGAAGCGAAGTCTTCGAGTCTTGGAGGGTGGAAGTCAATCACGCGCACATTGGCACGGTATTGGGCAACTGTGAAAGGCAGTTTGACAATAACGGTGGAGCCTTGCACTGTGGCTTCATAGGTCGCCGGCTCCAGAATATCAGGTATGAGACTCGTCGGTTTGTCGTGATGCTCGCAGGTCACTTGATTTCTGTTAGCTTGCAATAAACACATAAGAAAAAGTCGAGCTCGGTTACCTAAGGGGTTAAGGTCAGGGAGAGGAGCTGCAGCTGGCAATGCAGGTTTCTCGTCCCCCTTTGCCTTCTCGGCCAACTGCGCCCGTTGAAGCGCTCGTCTCTGCTTTGAGTTCAAAGGTTTCTCTGCTTGATCAGGTGCAGACCGCTTTTTACTCGTCCTCCCAATGACCGAATCGATCTCCTTTTTTTGAGCCTTGAACTCTTTTTCGTAATTGCGTTTTCTCCGGATCGCGTTCTTGAGGGCAGGATGGACATTTTCCGGGTCCTCTTGTGGATCAAGAACCTCTATGGAAATTTTTCTGGCGAAGTCGGTGCGGTCTTGACGGAGGAAGCCTTCCAAGTTCAGTCCGTTGTTTCCAAATTTGATCTGGATGTTCAAAAGATGAACCCAATCGCCGCACTTAACTTGAGAGCGGATAAGCGATGCGTGTGGCTCGTAGCAAGTTATCTGTATGCACCTTTTGCCAAAGGGACCTGCCCAATCGACCTGCGCATTAGGAATGCCTGCCTTTCCCGCAGTGTAGCCGTAGGGATCTCCGTCTCTCCCTCCATCCTGCGTCTGACCATTCCAAGCGTGATTATAGAAGGACGTATTCTCGGTGTAGTCAGACACATACAGCGTGACCTTGTCACCAGAATCAAATGGTTCTTTGACAACTTGGACGATCAGGTCACGGAAAGTGCCATCCCTGACTTCTTGAAGTTCGCAAAGCTTTTGCTTCTTCCCCTTGATTGATTGCGCCACACGAGTTGCGAAGACTTCAGCATCCGGAATGCATTCTGCCTTGATGTTCTGACGCAGCCAGGACACATACTTCTCGGCGCCAGGCTTCGACTTTTGACCAGCATCCTTCATAGATGGCTTTAGGGGTTGAGAGGCCGGCTGAGGATACGGGGGAATCTTGGACGCGGGATATACATGAATGGCAGTCGATGCCCTGTTCGTCAAAAGAGAGAGCGATCCGGAGTGCTTTTGAACCTGGGAATCGATGTCAGCCACCACGGATAAAGAACCTCAGGTGGAAGCACGCACCTTGGCTTGGTAGACAACAACAATATCTCCAGGACCGCATATAGGTATGTCTTTTTCTTGTATGCGGAAAATGTTCAACTCAACATCCCAAGTCACCTGGTCCTGGATCGAAATATCAATCAGGCGAAGCACGCACTTCATATCTGATTTTGTGTCAGGCTGCCCAAAGCAGTTTGACTGGGAAATAGGTCGAAAACATACCCTCATTTCTTGTTTTCATTGGGGCCCGGAAGTCTTTGACGACACCGATCACGTCGACGAAAGTCCAAGGCATGATCTGTCCTTCCTCCATGAAGTCTGCCAGCGCAGTGAAGCCCTTAGGAAGGTCCATGTCGGCATTTGTGTCGGCCATGTCGGCTGTTCTAGAGAGGTGAGGTAGGAAACACAGAGGAGACAGAATCGTTCGAACAAGATAAGTTGATTATTGGCGGTGGCCCAGTATCGTCATCGCCGATGACGACGAACGCCTGTTGTAAGGACCAGGATGGTGTTTTGTGTAGTGGTTCGGTCGTTGACTTCCTCTAGACGCGTGTCGGTGGCTTGAGGGCCTGTGAGACGCGCTGAGGTACCCCACCAAATTGGATGTCACTTCGCGAGACCATGTGCTTCGCTGGTGGAAGGTGCACTTACTTGCTCTTGCCACAGCCACCCAGCCTGGCCTGTGCGTGTAATGGAAGCAATGGAATTACCCAAAAGTTCGCAGTTACGCTCATGTCTTTTCCTCCGCTTTCAAGTAGGTCTCTCTTCCAGAACAGATATAGAACAACGGACAATGCGTCAAATGCAAAGATGAAGCAGACGCATCAAGGCACGCGGAACCTTGAAGGGCAAAGCTGTCAATCATTATCTTGAGAAACAAGTAGTGCATAGTAGACAACGGGCACCTTTGAGGCCTGAAAGCCAACCGTCCTCAGCGTCTTACTTAGTCTGGGAGGGTAAGTCCGTCATTGACCTCCAGAGGTGATGTGGAAAGAAGTACCTGCATAGCATTTCATGACATAATCCCCTAGGAAACCAGGCTAAGCAAAGAGAGGCAGCGCCATTGTGGGGTCACAATCTCTTACAGAGCAACTCGTCTTACTAAGGTACCTATCCAATTGAACTGCCTCCCCTGACTCAGCTAGTGAGAAGCATCTGGAGAGCCAAAGCCCGCCATTGTACAGTGTGCCTGCTCACCTAACAGGAGGAGAAAGAGGAAAAAAAAAAAAAAAAAAAAAAAGACTTCAGTGTTCGCTTGCGGCCTCAGAAGCCGTACCGGGTACCTTAGGTAAGCTCTTACCCTCAAGCATGCCACATGTCAAGTGTACGTACACAGCCTTAGCGGGCTTGCCTGGATTTGGCGAAAGGCCCTGCACTTTTCTTTCGTCGACCCGCTCTCTCGCTTCATCCTCCCCGACTTCTCCTTCCCCCCATCATCAGTGGCATAAATTTCCCACCCCTCCATCTGCAACATCTTTTCTTCCCGCGTTCTGACACCGAACTCGGCGTTTCCAGTGTTTACACACGAGAGAGCCTTCCCACATTCCTGCGCCAGACGACCAAGTCAGCATCTGTCAATAGAGACGGTTTCTTCCTTTCGCCTGCTCAAAGCAGTCAACCGCTACCTTCCCCCCTCCTGACGGGCGGCCCAAAAACAATCACTACCAGAATCAGCATCCATCTCAACAACCACCATGGCTGATCGGTACATCCCCGAGCATCGCCGCACCAATTTCAAGGCGAAGAGCACCTTCAAGCCTGAGGAGCTCCGTCGCCGCAGAGAGGAGCAGCAGGTCGAGATTCGCAAGGCCAAGAGAGAGGAGAACTTGGCCAAGCGCCGTGGTATCGGAACGGGCGAGAACAGACCCGGCGCTTCCCTCGGAGCTGCTCCAGACAGCGACGATGATACCGCTCCCACAGAGTCCCAGGTCAGTCTTGATTCCTTTCTCGCGTTTTTGCGATGGCATCGTCGCTGTCGTCGTCTCTTTGTTTGAACCCCACCAATACTGCCGCACCCTTCGTCTTATTTTCCCCCTCTGTTGCCAGGGCGCCTTGCCTCTGCCCCACTTGACCTTTGCGCGAGTCGGGACGGTCCTCTCCCACTAGACCTGAAGCCCCGCGCCAAACGACTTGCGTGAGGTTCACGACGACTGGCATTCATCAACTCGCACAGATCAGAAACATTGCTACTAGTCACCAAGCACAAGATGCTAACTATTTGCAGTTGAACGAGGACCTTCCTCAGATGGTCAACGGTGTCTTCTCCGACCAGATCGATCTCCAGATCCAAGCAACGACAAAGTTCCGAAAGTTGCTGTCCAAGGAGCGCAACCCCCCAATCGAGGAAGTCATCAAGACTGGTGTCGTCAGCCGTTTCGTCGAGTTCCTGCGCTCCCCCCATACCCTGGTTCAGTTCGAGGCTGCCTGGGCCTTGACCAACATTGCTTCCGGCTCTGCTACGCAAACCCAGGTCGTTATTGAGGCCGGTGCGGTCCCCATCTTCGTTGAGCTGTTGGCCAGCCCCGAGCCGGATGTACGGGAACAGGCCGTTTGGGCTCTCGGCAACATTGCCGGCGATAGTCCTCACTGCCGCGACTATGTCCTTAGCTGTGGCGCTTTGAAGCCTCTGCTGGCCCTGCTCGGCGATAGCCGTAAGCTTAGCATGTTGCGCAACGCCACTTGGACTCTGAGCAACTTTTGCCGTGGCAAGACTCCTCAGCCCGACTGGAACACCGTACGTAGCCTGGCACTCATCCTCCCGTCCCGTTGCTTTGCTGACGTAATTCCCAGATTGCTCCCGCCCTGCCCGTTCTTTCTAAGCTCGTCTACTCCCTTGACGACGAGGTTCTCATCGACGCCTGCTGGGCTATTTCCTACCTCTCCGATGGGTCCAACGACAAGATTCAGGCTGTGATCGAAGCAGGCATTCCCCGTCGACTCGTTGAGCTTCTGATGCACGCTTCTACCTCTGTACAGACGCCCGCTCTCCGTTCCGTGGGCAACATCGTCACCGGTGACGACGTCCAGACGCAAGTGATCATTAACTGCGGTGCCCTGCCGTGCCTCCTTTCGTTGCTTAGCTCCAACAAGGATGGTATCCGCAAGGAGGCCTGCTGGACGATTTCCAACATCACCGCCGGTAACTCCGCTCAGATTCAGTCGGTCATCGATGCCAACATCATTCCGCCTCTTATTCACCTATTGTCTAACGGTGACTTGAAGACCCGCAAGGAAGCATGCTGGGCGATCAGCAACGCGACATCGGGTGGTCTGCAGAAGCCGGAGCAGATCAGATACTTGGTTTCTCAGGGCTGCATCAAGCCGTTGTGCGACCTTCTTGCCTGCCCTGACAACAAGATCATTCAAGTCGCTTTGGATGGATTGGAGAACATCCTTAAGGTCGGCGACCTCGACAAGCAGGCTGCTGGTGAAGGTCCTGACTCGATCAACCGTTACGCCTTGTTCATCGAGGAGTGCGGTGGCATGGAGAAGATTCACGAGTGCCAGACCAACGCCAACGAGGAAATCTACATGAAGGCCTACAACATTATTGAGAAGTACTTTTCGGACGAGGAGGAGAATGCGGACGAGGGCATGGCTCAGACGGCCGGTCCTAACGGCACGTTCGGTTTCGGCGCCAACGCTGCTCCCCAACAAGGCGGCTTCAGCTTCGCTAACGGCGGCGATTCGATGGACATGTAAAACTCCAGATTGTTAGCGCAACCCGATGTGCTTTTGCTGCTTCAGCAACTTGCCTTTGGATTCGACCCAAATCAGCACCCCACACCCCCCAGCCCCCAGCACTATCTGTCACTCACCCACACCCCTTTCTGCCAGCGGCGCATTACATTTATTGCTGGACTGGCAGTCAAACACCTTTTCCCCCACCTACACACAACACACCTGCAATCGGCGTTCTCTAATATGGCTTGATGGAAATGATTGGAAGACGTTCCCAGTTGAGAGATGACAGGCCCTTTGGTAGCTTCAAAGCTCCAGCCTGAGAAAGAGGAAGAAGGCGAGAGGAAGAGAGAAGAACGCGGATATAGGCCGAAGGACGAGGCCCAGCAGACACGGGTGACAGACCTGATAGCTTAAAGCTCCAGGCCGGAGTCTGACTGGCCCACAACGCCACATGTGGCCATTGAGGCGGACTTGTACACCACGCGGGAGTTGGCCACGACGCCAGCGGCGACGACCGCGGATGGATGGCGGTACAAGAGACGGGTTGAATGGTGCTAGTGCATCTCAACTCGGGACGAGGAGTTTGGGCTGCACGACTTGCTGCCGGGGCCAAGTGGCATCTGGCTCATAGCGTTCGTAGCAAGCAATCCGCACAGCGGAATCAATGTCAATTCAATCGACAGTGAAAGTGTTACTGTGCACGTTACATGCGTTCCTAGTGACCCCTTTGGTGATGCAAAGTGAATGGTGACTTTGACAGGGAAATCTGCTAGGCGGTGCGTAGTAATTAGACACACAACTTTGCGTGAAACGGCAATAGATGCATCCTGAAATGCGATGAACGTAGGATGATTGCCATTATCGTACTATGCATAAACCTACCTGTAGGAATGTGCTGCGATTTGAGGTGCAGGGGTGGGCTTGCGAACGCCCCGCCACTGAAGCGCCGTCCTCATTGAACCCAACCTCGGGATCCCGCAAAAAGGTGCACGGCTGCTACTCCTACTGCCTATGCATTACAGGTACACCAACATTGGCAATCCCAAGGTACATTTGCGCTCAGCCCTGCCTCATCGCCAAACCCGCTTCTAATTCTTCTCCCACCCACGACAGTACTCAACGCGAGCTCCGTAGCATGCGTATTCGCGCATTCGAGGCGACGCCAACCAGCAGCACTTGATGCGCCCGGCACCTAGCGACAGCCGAGTTGCACGATGGACGGTCGCGTAATCCGAGGCGTCCAGCGCGCCGCGCTGAAGCAGTGGAACGAGTTCATTGCCATGAGTCTTGCAACTCGTCTGGATCCCGATAAATTCGAATCATACGTCCCGTTCCTTCAGGCGAAACACCCGCTTCCTCCCTCCGTCGTTGCCGATCTGTTCCTGCGGCCCCAGCCTCACAACCATGAGAGCCTCGATCCTCGAGTCCCACGCTTCCTCCAAGTACTGTCTGACCTCAACTACATCGACACGCCTTCTATCTTAGAGGCTCTATATAAGTACTCTACTTCGCGTGCGCACTCTAGAGAAGCTGCGCAAGCTTCGAATGGCGGCAATCCTACATCTCAGACCCTGCGATGGGCGAGCTCGTACTCGGCAGAGGAAGTCATGTTCTATAGACTTACGAAGTCTGTAGCTCAAGGTACAGCGATACCGAATACCGAGACTGGCCTTGCAATCGCCAAGATTATGGCCAGTTGGATTGCTCTGTTCACCGACGCCGCCACGGCCTTCACGGTCGACGTCATGGGCCAGCTGCAAAACAGCCAGGCGAGGGAAGAAATGGAGTCGGCGCGAGCTGCCTTTGTAGCCTTGCTCCTTGGAGTATGCGAAAATCACACAGTAATGAAGGCTTTTGGAAGCCCCGAGGCGAAAAGTAAGCATAGCCGGAATCTGTGCCCCTAGGAATTCGACTGACTGGTATAAAGACACCAGGAAGGCCCTGTCCGAGAGTCTAGCGAACTTCGTGCCTACGATCATGCAGAACGCCGGACCTATAGCAACTCGTCTGGACATGTTTCGTACAAGCACGCTAGCAGCGTTTGAGCCTGTTGATGAGCAGAAGAACACATCAAATGTCGAGATAGAAGACCTCTTTGATTCCTCTGTAGCACTTGAAAACTTCGTCATTTCCGAACTGCCAATCGTTAACTCGAGAGCGGGCCTATATATATATCTGAATGCTGCGGTTAGTACATGGTCGCTGTTAACAGTGAAGATGCTGACAATCATCTTTATTGTAGCTCGTTGGACGGCCACTGATCGACGATATGTCCATCTTCAACTATCTGAACAACAGATATCAGGTAATGCAAGATGGCACTATGTCATGCGCAAGTGCTAACGCTGCGAGTCTTAGGGAGACGTACAGACAACCACTATTGACCTCATATTAGCCTCGTTCGATGTGTTGGCCAATGCTGTTTCTCGAAATGAAGGCAACTCAGCTGCTCCTCTCCTTCGTTCATTTCTCATGAACAAGCTGCCTCTTCTTATTGAAAACTTGAGCAAACATATGTACCCTCCTCTGACGGCGGAGTTTTGCATCACAGAAGCGCTGGGCCGCGTAGACACAAATACCTTTCCCACACTTTCATCTATGTTTGATGAGTCCAGGAGCAACAACCCTTTCACCGACTCCGTTCGAGAAGAGTTCTGCTGGGCGTGCTGTCTCCATGGTCTAGTGCGAGAGAGCAGTATTGAGGGCCTCCTGGGCGAGACACCTTATCAAAACCTTCCGGCAGGTGGAAGGTACGTGAAGGACAATCTGGTTGCAGAATGCCTCGCGGATCCTGAGCGCATGCAGGCCCTCATTGGAGAGCTCGATGGGAAAGATGGAAACGCTGGCGCAGTCTGCCAGGCATTGACTGAGGTATGTTTTTGCTAGTCAGCAGTGGATTATATCATGTCTTCCTGACACACGCAGGTTCTGGGACAACTTTGCAGAAATAAGGAGACAATGTCTCTCAAGCTCCTTTGCAGTCAACTGGCCCAAAAACCCCTGTCTCTAGACGTCATGCTGCTTTTTGAAAAGCCGGCCACAATTCTTCATCCACTCTGCGATCTTCTGGACAACTGGAAGTATGATGAGGATCAAGGCGAGTATCAGCCCGTATACGAGGAGTTTGGGTCCATTCTTCTTCTGGTCATGGCCTTTGCATATCGCTATAACTTATCTATATCTGATCTTGGGATCGTGTCTCCTGACTCCTTCGTCTCGAAACTGCTCGGCCAAGGTCATCAGAGCCGAGTGTTTGATGAATTGTCAGAACAGCAAAAGGGTCATCTCGACGGCTGGATTCATGGGCTTTTCGACTCGGAAGCTGGTGGGCTAGGAGACGAGCTCATGTCGTCGTGCCCACCGCAAGACTTTTACCTCCTTGTTTCAACCCTTTTCCAAAACATTGTGCTTGCCTTCAGCACTGGTCATCTGTCCGAGGAAAGCTTGAGAGGAGGAGTCGAATGTAAGAATGACTCTGGCTGGTCCCCCTTTGCTGTGGCTAACTGAACTGTCAGATCTTGTCGACACATTTCTTCTACCATCTCTGGTTGTAGCCATCACGTATCTCTCCAATTCTCTGCTTATTGAACGGTCCGAATGCCAGAAGGCCATCGTTAGAGTGTTGAAGTCTGTCCTCGAGCCAACTTCGATTTCAAAGGAGGCATCGGACATGCTGTCCTCTGTCATGAACATCGTCGCAAAGCCTTTGGAGCATTCGTTGAGGACATATCAGCGATCAGACCCGAAAAGTCAAGAAATTGAGCCACTTTTAAGGGCAATAAAGGACAGCATCCCATTGTCCCGAAGGACAGGGGCGGCGGACCACGTCGAACTAGAAGCTTGGTCAGGTGTCCAACAACACCAGCACAATCATCAAAACGTAGGCTTTGCAAATACACTCCGACAAACTTTGCAAAGTCTCGTGCAATGGAGCATACATCCGGCCATGGATAGGCCGCCTCCTACGTATACCCACCGTCAAATACTCGTAGCTCTCATCATCCTCGGCGCGAAGCGACTACTACAACTCATTTACGAAGACATTAGACAACATAGCGAAGCTGGGAGTGGCAGCATCGTTTACGACGTGGCTGCGAACCTGGTTTGCGCCCCTGACGCGAACGACAGTCCTTGGGCAAACGCCCTCAACTTCATGGATAACTCGGGAAACATGCCGGCGCCTATCCAGAAGAAGCTGACGATGCGGGAAGTTCTGAAATCGGATGCCGAGAACTGCAAAAGACTGCAGAAGACAGATATGAATCTGGCCGAGATCGTGGTGAGACTACATCGCAAGGTGGAGTCCCAGATGGTCGTCGCTCAGGCCGCAGCCATTCAGGCAGATACCATGCTGCAAAACGATCTTGGCCTGGGCTTAGATGGAGGTACGGGCTCTCTCGACGATGCCATGGCAGCTGCAACTGCGAATGTTGTTGCCGGAGATGGCATGTCCGTAGATAACGTCAGCCTCGACTTGAGTATGGCTGGCGATATGGGCTTGGGTGGACCTTCCAATGCTGGGGGTGGTCTTGACCTTGGGGACAATGACCTCTTCAGTGGTCTCGATACTGGCGATGACTTTCAGTGGGACAATATGGATCTCTCGTAATGGAACACGACTTTTCAGTATCGGGTGCGATGGTGTCCCTACTGGTTTGCATCGTGTGTGGTTTACATGGACGCATAGGCGCAAAAGGACTGGAAGGGAGGGGAAAACGGGGCTTTACATCAGGGCCTTTTCACTAAGGATAGAGAGATAAATAGCATGCTACATTACATCTGATACCAAGAAATCGCACTCTGCCTGTCCTTCACTTTGCATCAACCCAGCTTCCAATTGTGAACTGCGAGTTGCACATGTTGGTGAGTTCCCAGTCTTCGGCGCCCATCTCGGCCTTCATGTTGGCATCTCCCCGGCCGCCGCACAATCCCCCCACGAACATGGTGGCCATAAAATGGTCGTCCGTCGCGTGGGCTTCGCGGAACTTGGGATGCTTCATTAAACTCGTCACCTTGCGCCTCAGCATAGGTCCGCCGCAAGGCTTCTTGCCACGAATGGCACAACCATAGACTGCCTGGTCCGTAGGCACGTCCTCCTCGTAGGCTGGGCAAAACGTGTCGATGACTTCCTGGCGGAAATCAAGCGCCCACGGCTCCGGCGGGGTGGGCTGGGCGAAGTTGTCGCGGAAACGGAGCATTGGGCCCCAGACGTTGCGGTAAAGGTTGTGAACAGAGCCTCCCGACCCGATGAACAACGTCTTGTGCTTGGCCGCCCGCAGGGGACGAAGCGCAGCGCCGACGGCTACGTGGAAGTGAGGGTCATAGAAGTCGTTCATGGAGATTAGGGTTGTGGGTGGACAGGCTTTTGGAAACATGCGAATCAGGACGAGGTAAGTGTCGTGGATCCAGTCGAAGGTCGGGTCGGTTTTGGAAGGGATGCCTGCGGCCTCCAGGTGGGCTTGGATCGTGGGAATGTAATCCAGGTCGGGGTTGAGCTTGTAGGGGTGGTATTTTTGAGGGTTCACGTAGGCTACAGGTGATTTTCCGGGCTTGGGATGCGCGGAGATGAGCACCTCTCCGGGAGCATTCGTTGCCCAGTGTGCGCCCTGTCCGCTGTTAGTTGGCTGATCAGAAAAGAAGCGGGGGATGGTGAAACGAGCAACGACGAAGCTGTATGCTTACCATCATAACGATATGCTCTATGCCCTGAGCGAGAGCTTCATCGCCACACTTCTTCCAGTACGTGGCCGAGTGGCTCTCCTCGCCTAGCATCATTGTCGAACCATGAGAAAAGAGGTGAACTGGAGTCATGGGACCCTCTTCATTGCTTCCGACGGCCATGTTTGAGAGGCGTCGTCCTTCTTGCAGGATGTCGCTGTGGTAGCTGTTCTTAGGATATATACGAACGAAGCTAACCTCGATCTTTGGGGCACTTTAAATGTTCAACTGGAGTTTGTCGTAAAAAACTGATGGATGGCACGATGGCGAAGACTTCTGGGAAGGTTATCTCACGTCGTGGGCATTGATGTTAGTGGCAGTTGGCTGCTCTCGATAGCTATGCCGATTGTCATTGCCACATCTCAGCCCAGGACGGCCCCATCGGCGGACGGAATGCTCACTCGAGACGCTATATCTGATCATCCGGCAAACTTGAGAGGCCCGACATGGCGGCAATTACTGCTTCGCCATGCCCCCGGAAGGTAGGAGCGTGAATGGTCTGGGGTTCGCCTGGGGAAATACGGGGCCGGCGGGGCCGGTGCAGGAGAATGGGCTCTTTCCTCCACTTCCCGAGCCGAGACCGAGCCGGTAGCCAGCCCGCCCTCAACAACCTAAGTGCCGAATCACTGCAACTACCATGGAATGCGACCTGAACACGCCTGATTCGTGTGGTTTCATTTCTACATGTGTAAAAGACTTAGTCAGCGGCCAGCAAACTTCCCCGGGCCATTTTGCGAAGGCCTCGTATCTTGGGAACCATTGGTGATCTGCCTGAAGCTTTGTTGAAGTTGCCAAATTGTGATGAATGCAGTAAGAAGTGGGTTGCATTTGCAGACTATTATACAGACGCACAAGCCTAATTATGAAAATGAGGAAACTGAGGAAACTAAGACCTGAGCTTCAATGCGTAGTCAAACACTCTGCGTCCACCGATCCATGTTCCATACGCCAGACTTGGGAGCACAATGCTCATGATCAGGCTGGCACCAACTACGAACCCTTGCTCGAAGAATCCCAACCTGCTGTTTCCAGGCTGGTTCGTGGGCTTCAGGGGGGCAGTCGCCAAAGCCCGCAGGCTTTGTGTCGTGATGCCGCCGGCGCCAGAGAGGAGCTGGTCGACCTTTGCCAGTGCGCCGGAAGGCTGCTCAATGAATTGTGGCCGGGACACGGAAAACATCTCCTTGCTGTAACGGAACTCGAAGGCCGCATCGTGCAAGGTGGATGCCGCAGGCCCCAGGAGAAGGCTGGAGGGGATCTGGTTGACAAAAGAAATGTGCGAGGGAAGGTGTTGTGAGAGGTACTTTGCCGCGTCAGGACTGGCGAAGAAGTAGCCCGCCAAGAGAGGCTTTCTATAAACAGTATTGAGACAGCGTTTCGTGTGAAGGAATGACATGGAATGACTTACTCAAACTCATAAGTGTATATGGAGTCCACGAGGCCAGATGAAGTCGCAATCGGCAAGAAACGCCCACTAACCTTAGCATTCAAGAGAGAAGTGTTCCTGCAGTCGTCAACAGCCCGTCGCCACCACTGAGCACCGGGAAAAACTCACTTGTCCTTGATGTCAACCAACTTGAAGTCCTTCGATCCAAAGCTGGAGACCAGCCGCTTCTCCTCAGCCTCCTGTACGGCCGCCCTCGTCTCGTCGCTTTTGTTGTCACTTGCGCGTCGAACGGTCGTCTCCCGCGCGAAGGCAAGGGAAGCGTGCTTTGAGCATGCTTCGAAGAACTCCTTCTTCACGTACTCATTGACTAGAACGAGATCTGGCGCATACGGTGACTGTCCCCCAAAGCCGAAACGTGCGGCTGTGATGGCCCCTGCTGCGGCTTCAATGTCGGCGGTACGGTCGACGATGGCAATGGCACGGGCAGTGTTGGAGGAAACAAAGTGATTAACATGGCTTGCGCTGGGTGCAACGCCTGTTTGATCCACGAGGATTGCCGAGTCGAGAAGCGATTGATCCGTAATTTTCTTTGTAATGCAGAAAGCATTCTGATTCAGAGCTCGAGGAAGAACGCTGCGGAGAATCGAGTCAAGCTGCAGCAGAGTATCTTCGAGCTGCTCGCTCTTGGGTCAGCTTCGTTCAAGACCATGAGATGACCGTGGTTCGGAATCCTACAAACCTCGAGCGCAACCACAGAACCTGCAGCTATAGCCGCAGCAAGAGGGCTCAGAATAGAGAACAGCCGAGTGTAAGTTGTTGGCCTAATGATAACCAGCCCAGCACCGGTTCGTCTAGTGGTGTTGTCCTTGCCATGAGCTACTAGATACTCGGTATCGAGCTCCTTTCCAAAGTCAAGAGACTCATAGAAGTGGCGAATGGCCTCCATTGATAGAAAATGCTCAACCTCGACTTCCGTCCTTGACGCGCCCGAGTCCTTTTCTTCGGCAGCGCACAGCGCTGCGGACTCCTTGCGTAATTCCTCATGAAGACTGATGAGGTTGTCTTGGCGGAACCGAATGCCCTCCGCGCGCCCATCAACAAGGGTCACGAGCAGTTTCTCGATGGCAGGTTCCATTGCGGCAGTCGGTTGGTCTCCAATGAGAAGGGCAAAGAGGTGTGAATAGGAGGGTAAGTGAGATGGACGCAATTCTGATCTGCCCTGGGTGAAGTTGAAGCTATTCTATCTAGATACCCCGAGGGAGCTGTGACATATTCCGACAGTGACACCCTCCAATGACCCGATAGCTCGAACGGCTTGGCGGTACCTCAAGCTAGACGTCCGGGGCTGAGAGGGGCGGAAAGTGGAGGACAGGGGTACTGGTCGATCACAGTCAAGCTTACCAGGATAGGGCAGACGCAGTTCAGTTCTCCCCGCATTTCCGACGCAGGACTCGTTCAAACGGGGAGCGGGTTCGCGGAGATGGACGGGTCGACGGTCGGCATATTGAAGCGGCCTGCTCCCCCCTTGTGGTTCATTTTCTAGACAGGCGTAGACCACTCTCCAGAACTGAGTCCAGAACTGAGATTGAAGTCGTTTGCTACACAACTCATCCTTTGCAAAACCCACTCCACAGACAAGAACGTACAGCCACGCGCATCAGTATGTCGGCCACCACAACAGACAACCCGATCACAACGACAGTCCGCCAGGACTACCTCCACGACTACAGCATCCGACTCACTGGAGGCGTCGAGGAAGCGTACGCGAGGCCGTCCAGAGATGCGCCTTTGCCAGCGGTTGAGAACCCTCCCGATTGGTATGACCAGCATCGCCAAGTGCCTCCGTACAGACCCATCAACCGAGAGCTGGATGTGGCAGATAGACCTTGGGGATCCAACAGGATTGAGAACGGCTTCGTTTTTGTGATGTTGAACGGATGTTGGATTCAAGGGGTAAGAATGCGCCCATGGCTAGGCAAACCATGCCGGCTGGTTACTGACGTGCGTCTGACAGGTTACCAACTGGCTTTGGAGAAGCACGGGGGGGAAGGTAAACCAGACATATTGGAGGGCCAAGGTTGGCGGCGAAATCTGACTGCTAACAGCGGTGGATTTGGAGACGGAGGGAGACATCATGGCATTGCGATTGCAATTGTACACTACCGGATTGGGAATTCCGCGACACCACACAAGGCACGAATAGCTTCATTCATTTTGACCGAAAGTGGTTGAGAATCGCCATATGAGAGGGAGCGCGTGTGTGTGCATCAGAGGCAATGTTGACGTTGGTTGGCGAAACCACCGTAAAACTCGCCAGCATGTCGGAAGCCACTATCGGCTCGGCAATAGAAATGCAGTACACTGAGTTTTCATTCGCAGCGTACCTGTGTAGGTGACTCGGCTCGCCTGAGTTGAGCTGATACAAGAGAGGAAAGAAAAGGAAAGGAGGCATTGACCCCTGCCCTTCGCGTTGGAGCTCCGAGGTTCGCCGGAGCACGTCACATTTGCTTCACAAGAAGGGAGCTCAAACCTCGTCGTCTCCCAACCAACCAAAAACCAAAACCAGCCATAGCCACAGCGGCAGCCCGTCAGCCCGTCATACACGAAACAGTTCGAGGACAGTACGGGGCGTGCTGTGCCTCGCTACCTACTTAGGTAGGTAGGTACGCTCAGCTGCCTACCTACCAGTACCCAAGGTAGGTAGGTACCTAAGGTAACCAACCGTAAGTTGAGGTCCGGTGCAGGGCAGTTGGTTGGGGTCAGCCCCTCCCCCACCCTTCCGCCGCCGACGGAACGCCATGAGGGGTCCATCTTCATCACCTCCGCTGTCCACTCCAACGTCAAGGCTCTTGCCGTGAAGAACGTGACTACGATTCCGAAATCTTCCAGTCTCTCGCAATAAAACCCAATCAGGACCCTTTTGAAACAAACACAGTCGATTCCGAGTGACACCATTACCATCGTCTTCGTAACCTCACCACCGATCTACTTAATTGCCATGTCTGTCAAGACTCCGCCCATCAAGGACCTCCTCGAGGTCACGGAGGACAAAGAGAATGGCCTTACTTTTATGAAGAACGTCTCCATTCCCCTGAAGGACTCAACACTTCCAATCAGAGCCAATGTCTACCTCCCGCTCACGTCGGAAAAGACCGGTCGCTATCCGGTGCTGGTAACCTACGGCCCCTATGGCAAGGACATTCCTTACGCCAAGTTCTACCCTAAGTCGTTCAGTGAGGTGAACCCCGAGCAGAAGTCAAAGTACTCAGCCTGGGAGACGCCGGACCCTGTCTACTGGACCAGCCAGGGCTATGCCATCATTAGAGCCGACGAGCGCGGCCTGGGCCAGAGCCCTGGTTTTCTAGATACCATGAGCCGCGGCACGAGCGAGTGTTTCTTCGATGTTGTCGAATGGGCCGCTGAGCAGCCTTGGTCTAATGGAAAAGTTGGCCTGTTGGGTATATCCTACTATGCTGGTATGTGTCTCCTGTCTAGACGCCAATCATCGCCGGTTGCTTATACATGTCACAGGCTCTCAGTGGCGAGTTGCGGCTCGCCGGCCCAAAGGTCTCGCAGCCATTATCCCGTGGGAGGGTATGTCTGACTACTACCGTGACCGTTGTCGGCACGGTGGCATTTACTCCAATAAGTTCATCGGCGTGTGGTGGAATCGACAGGTCCTTGTGAACCAGTATGGCCGCAAAGACAGGTCGAAACTGGACTTTCCTCCCGATGGGCCCGGAGCCAGGGGTCAGGAGGACACCATCGAGGGTGATCTGCCTGACGACGTCCTGATTGCCAACCGTCAGGATCAAACCAAGGATAACGAGGCCAATCGTTTCCGCGACGACGACTATTACGCTAGCAAGGAGTATAAACTGGAAGACATTGAAGTTCCCGTGTTGAGCGTTGCCAACTGGGGTGGTATTCTCCTTCATTTGAGAGGCAACGTCCAGGGATATCTCGGAGCCGGCTCTAAGCTGAAGTACCTCCGCTTCATCACTGGGCGGCATGATCTACCCTTCTACTACCCCGAGGAGGTTGAACTCCAGAAAAGCTTCCTCGACGCTTTTCTGAAGGGTGATGATCGCGTGGGCTGGAGTGTTCCTGGTAAGGTGTCTCCTGTAACGCTCACACTGCGCAAGGGCAACGTCGGTTTCAACGATGCGCAGAGGGAGAAGGCTTACGAGAAGAGAGAGGAGAGTGCCTGGCCCATTCCACGTACAGAGTACACAAAATTTTTCCTGACCTCGGATCTGGGATTGACAGCAGCTGGTCCCAGTTCGGAGTCAAAGACTGTGTCGTATAAGGCTCTTGGGTCCTTGGAGAACCAGCAATTCGTCTCCTTTGCCACTGCGCCCTTTGAGCAGGAAACCGAAATCACAGGTCACGTAGTGGCCCACCTCAACGTCTCTGTAACGCCCGACAATACCGGACACGACACCGATATTGACCTATTCGTCACTCTGCGCCACATCGACCCGACAGGCCAGGAAGTGTTCTACACAGGAACAGCCGGAGACCCTGTGCCACTTGTGAAGGGCTGGCTTCGTGTGAGCAACCGCAAGGTGCATGACGAGAACCCTAGACACAAGTCTTGGCTGCCTCACAGAGAGTATCTTTCAACAGACGTCCAGCCTGTAAAGGCCGGCGAGATTTACGCGGTAGATGTCGAGCTCTGGCCTACGAACGTAGTTGTCGACAAGGGCGGCAAAATCGTATTTGAAGTTGCGAGTGGCGACACACAAGGCAGTGGCATTTTCCAGCACTCCTCCGATGTCGATAGGTGAGCCCCTCTTCCCGCACATCCTTTTCAACACCATGACTAACTTCCAATACCTAGGCCTGCCATCAAGTTTGCAGGGCTCAACAACATTCATTTCGGGCAGGGCCTGGAGAATTATGTGACGTTGCCCGTAATCCCGTCCAAATGAGAACTTGGAGACGAATTTGGAAGTACCTGATGCGTGGGAGGGCGCGTATGCCGCGAAGTTTGCCGAATTGCTCTTTAAACCAGATGCCAGGTTCGGGAAATTAAACCGACCCAGTGAATCCGGGGCCGGCGGCGGCGGGGGCGGGGGAGGAGGGGGCGGCTGATGTTGGACCACCCTATGAAGCTTGTTGCTGTGAGACGTAAAAGACAAGTAGCCGCTGTCGTAGAATGATGCGTAGCCGATACTCTTAATTTTGTCGCCGTTACTCCTTTCATCACTGAATTTGGACGCCCAGCACGCGAAGATGAGCTTCTCTGAGCATTTCTCCCTGGCCAACATTCCGTACGGCATTGCCAGCACTGCCGAACATCCTAAGGGCGTAGCCACGAGGATTGGCGATTTGGTTGTATTTCTTGCGGATTTGGGCCTCGATGCTTCTAAGCAGGTCCAAGCCGCGCTGTCCCAGGTATATGCCACAGCCTTCGAAAGAGGAACGTGATATTGACCATGAACTAGCCAACTCTGAACGCTCTAGCCGCCATAGGGAAGGACGAACTCCGTATGCTCAGAAAGAATATTCAAACCACCTTGTCCGATCAGTCGGTGGTTACAAAACACGGCGTCCCGATTGAACATGTTCATCTGCATTTGCCGGTGCAGATTGGCGGTTTCACCGACTTCTCTTGCTCCAAGGAACACTTGTTGAACGCATCAGCGGCCGTTATGGGACAGGCGTCGATGCCGCCCGCAGCACCATATCTTCCGATCGGGTACAGCGGTCGGCCGTCCAGCATCGTGGTCTCGGGAACGAAAATCACTCGCCCATACGGTCAGTTTCGTGATGGAGACAAGATTGGGTTCGGACCATGCAGAGCTCTTGACTACGAGCTGGAGGTAGCTTGCATCATTGGAAAGGCGACGGAACTTGGCGACCGGGTTGCCATTTCTGATGCCGACGAGCATATCTTCGGCCTTGTTCTGTTGAATGACTGGAGTGGTAAGTAGAGCATCGTTGCGAAGGAAGGAGAGAGCCGCGTCGCTGACAGCAAGCAGCTCGTGACATCCAAGGGTTCGAGATGAACCCTCTCGGCCCAATGAATGGCAAGTCTTTTGGAACTTCAATCAGCCCTTGGGGTAAGTCTTACGTCCGCACGCCGAATTGTTCCTGATTGCAGTACTGACAATGCAATTGGTTTCAGTAATAACCCTTGAAGCACTGGAGCCTTTTGCGACACGGCCGCCCACAAAGGACGTACCAGCGCAGCCTTACCTGCTCGACCACAAAGAAAAGTCAAGCTACAACATTGCCCTCAAAGCCGAGGTATTGGCGGACGGGCAGACCACGACGGTATGCACGGCGCAGCTCAGCTGGATGTATTGGACGTTTCGAGATCTTGTAGCGCAGCAGACGATCAACGGTTGCAACCTCAACACGGGTGACGTTTTGGCTACGGGTACGGTGTCGGGTGCTGGCGACGACGAGCACGGCTGTCTGCTTGAGATGACCAAGGGTGGCAAGGTGAGTTGGAAGACATGTGACGGTCAGGAAAGAACATATCTGCAAGACGGCGACGGAGTGCGCCTGAGCGGCTATGCTGGCGACGGCGTGGGGTTCGGTGAGTGCAACGGATTCATCTCTCCCGCTCGGCCACTTTGAACCGACAAGGAAGTCGATTCGCGAGGCGGCAAACAAGATTGACTGGAACTTGGAAGCCGGATGCGCAAGCGGGAGCGCCGGTCCTCGAGTCGAGGCCAGGTGCTCCGAGCCGATCCCTAAGCCCCAGCTGGCCCTTCTGACGTCGGTCAAACTGGTCTCGGTTTCCGAAAGTGGTAGGCCTAGGCACCTGCACCTCCGTTGGTGCGGATGTGTCGCAGTGAAAGTGCGGCAGTGGGTTTGACGCAGTGGGAGAGGAGAGCATGGGGTTCTTAGTGTGCGTGACCGCCGGTTCTACAGGAAACAAAAACCAACATTTCAGCCCAGCAGCTCCCGCGGCCGTTGAATTCCGTAGAAGATTGTCGTAATACTGCGTAATCCCAAATATTTTGGGGGTCTTGCAGACCATGTGTCCAGCTGTAGCTGTGCCTTATCCGAGGCGGCTAGAATTCCCGCGTGTCCAGACAAGCCTAGGTTCGATTCACCCGCTTCCCCATGGGCACCCTCGGCATGTTCGGGGCGGGACCGGGATCCACTTGTCCGAAGTTTATGCGCACGAATCTGATGGCACTCGTGAACCATCGGAGGAACGGAGTGGAGCGCCATGCCCTGATCCCCGTCAACCTGAAAGCTGTCGACGTGTGTGTGAAAATCCTGGTAGAGACCAATGTTTGCTTCCTCCGTGGAGTATGTACACAGAAAGCAAGCTATGCCAGTGACTGTTTGTTGCGCAGGAGTCCGCGGCTTTCTGTCCGTTGTGCATGTTCCTTCTGACAAGGTAGATGGCTTGCTTCCGGTCGTGACACATGTCGAGGCACTTGACAAGTACGTGTTAACCGATTTCGAGGCTACTTGAGGTAAGGAAGGTCAAAATCAGGACCTGAAGGAGTATTGATGTTGGGGGGGGGGGGAGAAAAGAAAACGGCGGCGGGAAGGAGAAAAGAACGGCAGAGTGAAGCTGCAGTTCTGCACACACGCACCGTCGAGGGCGGAAGCAAGACCGGCCTTGTCCGAGGCGGTCAGCCCGCCACTACAGGGCTGGTGGTAGTACTTTAGAAGCGCGCAAACGCTGTACTATGCAGTAGGAAGCGGCATGTGTGCGCACATGTCGGCGGCGGCGTCTGTGGGTTTGTGCATGTGGCACTCCTGCCAGGCGTGCCAGGCCAGCTGGTCCACAAATGCCTAGGTCACCGCCGGCCGATGAATCCTTATCGTGCCCATTATCTTGGGTATCGCGGCACGCTAGGCGGGTATCAACTATGATCCGAAGCCTGTTCCTGACTCCCGCGTGGAGGTAGGGGGGGAAAAAAATTACGCCAGAGGCTGGCGATTCCGAAAAACGGGCACCCGCATCTGAGGAATTGACTCAGGCCCCGCCGTCATCCCGCTGGTTTTGTCCATTGTGTCTGTCTCTTGTCTCTTGCGCCTTCTACAGCGTGTTCTGTGTCTCTGCTCAGTGTCTCTGATTGTTCTTCAGATGTACCTGGCATACCGTTCGTGCTAGGCTCGGTACATGCCAATACTCTGAATCCGTCTAACGCGTCCTCTAAACCGAGACCGCCTGACCATTCTGTAGCTTCCATGTTTCCTTTCGGAGTCCCTGCTGCGTGCGACCAAAGACCAAAGTGACCGGCTGCAATAGGAAGCTTCTCAAGTTGTGTGACCAACTTCCCCGGACGAGCCTCCCCCAAATTTTTTTCCCACTGCATCTCCCCTATCCGCTCTCTACCTACCTTGCCTCCTAGATCTCAACTTGACTTCTTGCCCACTTTCCTTACCCTGACTGACCAACCTGTCCCTCTTTGTGTCCATTGAGTTCGTAATAGAAACGACCGATCCTGGAGCGCAACCTCTCCCCAGAGGCCCACGTCGGCTCCAGTGACTGGTAGAGACCAAATCTTATCGCGCCGCACCACCCTACCTTACCTCGCGCGATAACATCTGCTCAACCCACAACCCACACCCACCTTACCTCCTCTTCTCTTACCCAGGTTAAGGCAGGGTCCTCAGTTCTCAGACGATTTTCCTCGTGCCTACTGCATCACCTTCTTCTTGCGAATCCAATCTGTCCAAGATGAGCAAAGCAGCGGCCGTCAAGGAGGCCGTCAAGGAGAGTCTCCTTGGCGCTGAAGAGCCCGTCCAGTTGTCCGCCCAGACCAAAGCCAGATTCGTCGCCAATGCTGTCAAGGACGAGGCATCAGGGGAGCTCTTAATGGGCCCTGAGCAGTTTATTAACGCTGTTGCGCCTACTGACGAGGACTATGTGAGCTTTCCCCTTCTCCTCATCTTCTCCACCTTGAATGCTGTCCCTTCGCGGAATTCCATGTCATGAAGTTGGACGAGAAGCTGTCTCCGATATTCCTCCGATACACCACGCGATCGTTCGCTAACTCCATCGCCCACCGCATAGCACAAAATCAAGCGTGAACAGTACGGCATTCTCTTTGGCGTCGCCGACCGCAAGGGTGCAGGCAAAATAACTCTTTCCGAATGGGCCGCCTTCGAGAACCTGTTGATGAAGCCCGACGCCGAGTACGAGATCGCTTTTCGCCTTTTCGACGTCGATAGAACCGGCAACGTCAAGTACGAAGACTTTCGAAAGCTCTACGAGCTGAACAAGGGACCCGACAGTATTCCCTTTGACTGGGAGTGCGAGTGGGCCAAACTGTACATTGGCAGCAAGAAGAAGCGTCACCACATGGACTACCCTCAATTCTCCCAGATGCTGCGCGGTCTCCAGGGCGAGAGAATTCGCCAGGCCTTCCAGCAATTCGACCAGGACGGCGATGGCTTCATCGACCCCGAAGATTTTGAGCGCATCATCCGCGAAACATCTAAGCACAAGCTGTCTGACCACTTGCTCGAGAACCTATCGACCCTGTGCAACATTTCCCTCGGCAGCAAGGTCTCGTATGCCAATGTGCGCGCTTTCCAGAACATGATCAAGGAGATTGATCTCGTCGAGCTCATTGTGCGCCGTGCTTGTGCTAAGAGCCCGGATGGCAAGATTACCAGGACAGAGTTCCTGAACCAAGCCGCCAAGATCACTCGGTTCTCCCTCTTCACTCCCATGGAGGCCGACATTCTTTTCCACTTCGCCAGCCTCGACGAGCCCTCGGGTCGTCTCGGACTTGCCGATTTCGCCAAGGTACTTGATCCCTCATGGAGAAACGCCCTCTCCGAGGTCGACGATGCGGCTCAGAAAGCAATTGCCAAGGGCGCCTCAGCAAGCAAGGCGCTTCTTGGTCGGGTCCTCGAATCCGGCTACAACTTCGGCCTTGGCAGTTTGGCCGGGGCCTTCGGTGCCTTCATGGTGTATCCCATCGATCTCGTGAAGACGCGCCTGCAAAACCAGCGAGGTGCCAGACCAGGCGAGAGGCTGTACAAGAACTCAATCGATTGCTTCCAGAAGGTATGGAGAAACGAGGGTTTGCGCGGTCTGTACTCCGGTGTTCTGCCTCAGCTTGTTGGTGTAGCACCCGAGAAGGCCATCAAGCTGACGGTGAACGACCTTGTTCGTGGCCACTTCACCAACAAGGAGGGCAAGATTTGGTACGGCCATGAGATTCTTGCCGGTGGCGCTGCTGGAGGTTGCCAAGTTGTAAGTCTCCCCCATAAACGCACACATCTGGGTTCGCATCGGTCCTGACATGATTCCTTTTAGGTCTTTACCAACCCTCTGGAGATCGTCAAGATTCGACTCCAGGTTCAGGGCGAGGTCGCCAAGACTGTTGAAGGAGCCCCGAAGAGATCCGCGATGTGGATTGTCCGCAACTTGGGTCTCGTTGGTCTTTACAAGGGCGCTTCTGCATGTCTACTGCGCGACGTTCCCTTCTCCGCTATCTACTTCCCAACCTACAGTCACCTGAAGAAGGACATGTTTGGAGAGTCGCCTACCAAGAAGCTGGGCGTCGTTCAGCTACTTACTGCCGGCGCCATTGCCGGCATGCCGGCCGCCTACCTCACCACGCCTTGCGACGTCATCAAGACCCGTCTCCAGGTCGAAGCTCGCAAGGGTGAGGCCACATACACCGGTCTCCGTCACGCAGCCAAGACCATTTGGAAGGAAGAAGGCTTCCGTGCTTTCTTCAAGGGTGGTCCCGCCAGAATCTTCCGCTCATCTCCCCAGTTTGGTTTCACCTTGGCCGCGTACGAGGTTCTGCAGAGCCTCATTCCTTACCCCGGCTCGTCAGACTCTATGAAGGTTCACACTGGTGTTGGGGAAGCTGTGTCCACGTTGAGAGAGAAGATGGACACCAGCCCCTTTGCGCGCAGCCGCAACGCCCTGAAGATTATCCTCGATATCGACGAGGACTTTGGTAAGGTTAAGGTGCCCAGCCAGGAGTCTTGGAAGAAGCTTCCTGCGTTCATGCAGACCAACGAAAACGGCTCTTCATGAGCGGCCTCGACCGAAATTCTGGACCTGAAATTCAAATGATCAGACAGTGCACGGCCTGAGAAAGAGCAGGCAGGTGTTTCTGGCTGAAAGGAAGGATTAGTCACATATCGCATATACGGCCGGGGAAAAAAGTTCTAGAGCATAAAGCAAGACCAGAACAGAGACGACTCTAGAGCGGAGAAAAGTTGGGAGGCACCTTGCGAGACTGCATATTACCCCGACGGCGTTCAGGGGCAGGCATACAAAGGGACTTCGGCATTTGTTTTTCTTTCTTCCTTTCCTTCCTGTCCTGTGCAGTCCTTCTGGACGTTGTTTGCAAGTGGTTGGTATACTCGCGTTTCTTGTTGAGCTTCGCTGCGCCTGGCATACCGTGGTTGGAGACAAGGCTACAGTAGAGGTAGACTTCTAGACTTCTTGCAGAGGAGCGTGTTTAGACTGTTTCGTATTTTGTCTAGATATGTATGAAATATTTACTACTGCTCACAGATGTGTTCCAATAGCACAATATGCATGCTCCAAGCTTCGCAGGCTGTCCGGCACATTCAGCAAGAACGCAGGGGTTTGTACTCAGAAGTAGGTATCGTTCTATTCTCTAAAGTAATCAAGATATGCCGGATAGCAGTCAGTATAAAGTCGTACCAAAAGCAAGTGTCTAGTCTAGTCGTTGGTGTTCTTCATCGTCTGCACGAAGAAGGGAATCCCTCTCCTCGGCCTTACCATCTGAGCCGCGGTACAGTATATAGTGTTGAGTCATGAACACTAGGTCGTAAACCATGGACACGTTGCCTAGGGCGAACTTGACGGGGTTACCAGTGATGCCGGACCAGTCGCCCTGCAAATACGAGTCGATGGCCTGCTGGGCGCAGGACAACAGGCCACCAGAGAAGTCAAGCAGAATCTGCCAAATCGACCAACCCTTGGTCGACTTGTTTCTGTAGTTGGTGATGACTTGCGGGGTATACTTGATCAACGTGATAACCAGCTTGACGTAAGAGATGGCATATACCACATCGAGAGCACACCAGCTCGTCCGCGGGTCACCGTCGCTAGGGGCCCCGACGACGATGAATGCGACGAGGATAACGCCCACGACGCAACCAAATGCGATGCCCGTGATGAAGCGGCTGGGCTTGGTGCCCGCGGCAGGGGAGAAACCCCAGAGACTTGGAAGATACTGGCTGGTTGTGATGCAGGAGAGGAGAAGGGCGTGAGCGGCGAAGGTGATATCGTTGAAGGCGACGGTCGGGGTAAGGCCATGATTGCGTGCGGCGTACTGGGAGCGGACGACGGGAGAATAGTAGAGGCAGGAGTTAGAGACGAGGTATGCCAGAAAGCCTGAACATCACGGATTAGCCACCCTGTCGCGTTGCGCCAGAGCTCTTGAGGAGCCTGCAACGTACCGAGGCAATTGATGAGAGGAAAGTCGACTGTCGTGCCAGCCGTGGTTTTTCTTGTGAAGTTCAGAAGAGGCTGCGGATAAAAGGACCCGGACCAGCAGAGGAAGTAGATCCAGCCAAATACGGCAGACAGGAAAGGGAGGAATTCGAACGCCATTCTCAGGGTCGCGTGATTATTGGCTATGGGCTTTCCAGTTCACCTGATCATTCGAAGTAGAGTCGCGATGCGTTTCCCAAGCCCTTCAAGTCAGCCAGCCAACCTGCAAGTCCTGAAATCGAAGGGGTGTGTGAAAGAACGGGATGGGCGGTGATCAAAAGGAATGAAGGGCCAAAAAGCAAATGGGATGTGTCGCGCGAACTATTGCGACATGGGACCTAGAGTCTCGATAGGGATTAGCTTCGTCGCTGCTTCATCGACCGCAGGTCCGAGCAGGGACCCGAGCTTATTGTGCAATGAGGACTCAGTGGCCGTTCCTAGCCGCTGCCCGTTAGAGCAGCGGCTCTCATGACCAGGAGGCCGGTAACGAGGTCGCCTTGATAGGCCGATCGCGCCCAGACAAGCTCTTCCCGGGGCGTATACTCCACTGAGGGGCGCCTGAATTCGGGGATCAATGTGGAGCAGATTTCTGTGTTGTCACCGCGGGGTGTGATGTCGCCATTGTAACGCGCCCTCACCCCTTGTCGGAGCCTCTCCTGCCTTTATTCTTCTCCTTCTTTCTCTGTGATTTGCATCGTCAGGTTGTTGGATGCGATGAGATTTTGAAGTAGAGGAGCCGGGAACGTCAAGTCTTGTAGCTCAGAGCTCGAGCAATGCCTCAATTGCCTGAAGGATTTGTCGTTTCGCACCGAGAATAGGCCTCGGATGTAGTCTGCTCATTGAAAACACGAAGACGTTGAACAAGTCACATTAGACTCGGTCATTGCCTCCCAACAAACTCAATCTTCAGACTGTCGGCCTCGGAGCTCATCAGCTGTTCCAGCCAACGTGCGTACTCCTCGAAGCCGAACGTGCTCCCGTAAATTCTCACGGCCTTGACACTCCGAACTCCTTCGAACAGTTGTAGTGTGCCGTGATCTGCTCCGAGGAACATTGACTGCCGGACCTCCACAACAAGCTCGTCTGCACCGCTGAAAGCAGCCGTGACTGCCTCGGCGTCGTAGGCCGGGTCACAGTCAAGCCGAACCTGAATGTGGAACCGCCGGATACGAGGAAGCACCCCTCGTTCCTTGACCGGCGGATACCATGGTCGGAGCCGTGGGAAAGAAGCGAGCAGGGCACCGTGGGCAAGGAAGATGTTCTTGGTATAGAGAATAGGCGAGGCTTCGGCGTGTGTTTGCCGGTTGACGGCAAGGATGGCAGGATGTAGCCTTTCGGCGGGTCTGGTCTTCGGCGCGAGTCTATCAGGCGGAGGGTGGATCAGAAGTTGGCTGTATATTTCAAGACGAATCTCAAGAGGAAGATCTAAGAATGTGCATGATGGAGGCATCGTTGATGATTTGCGGAGGGGAAATCGTGGTGCTGTGCGATGCCTGGTTCAAATAAACAACAGGAACCAGAAAATCAACCTGCGGAATATGCCAGGTTAGGGTCACAAAATGAAAGACGCTGGTTCCAGGCGTAGATAAGATACCGGGTGACAGGAGCAGTGGCAGATCAACAATCCGCCGATAAGGGTGCTAATTTGTCCAAAGTTTTGACCTGGCTTTGCCAATCATGCATCCGTTTAGGTGAACCTGTCACTGCATAGCTGGATGTCCGAGCCAGCGAACAAGCACCGAAAGAAGGCGTCTACTGGCACAAGGGAATTTGGACAGCGATATGCTTGGCCTTTTCCTCTTGAGGATTGGCCAATCTTGGGGGCCGGCCAGTTTGTGGGGCGAATTCGGAGGTGCCGCCCCATTCAGTTGCTTGAGCTGACGGACATCAGCCCGACGTTCAATGCCAATCCAGACGACAGCGAGCTATTATATGGAGAATCACTCGGTAGGCAGCTCGACTTTTCTGTTATTCAGTTACAGGGCTAAGATGCCGAGACGTATGGGACATGCAGATTCAACGCCCTTTCTATGACACCGGTTGTATTTTCATTTTTCTTTTCCCAGTAAGACAAGAACGCCCGCTTGTAATCCATGAATATTTTGTTGTACACATGCGCAATCAACGAGCTTCCTCAGTTGTGCTTGCCGAGGGGGCAAAATGTCCAAGACCACCAAAAAAGTGTGTTGACCTTGACGCTTAGCCAGCCCTTTAGCTCATAGTCAATTCGGGAAAGAATCTCGACAACTTGTTAGGATGGCCGAACTCAGTCCTGCTGTGGTTCTGGTCGTCGGGTGCTAACGAATCCGTGTCGCTGTCAATATTAGGCTGTACTTCTGGTGCAGCTCTCTTGACCTTTATGTTGCCTTGCACAAGGGGGCGGGATGTGCTGGTCTGCCCGCTCGATATGGTCACAATTGATCTTGAATCGGCTGGTGTTGACACTTCGTGAAGTGTACTGGGTGGCCTCGACTTAACGGCGAAGGATTGATCGGGTGTGTGGCTACGAGAAACACCGAATGGAATTATTGGTCCCAAAGTCTTCTTGGAAGCCTCGGGAGTTGGCAGGGGGGTCGCGGCTGGGCTAAGAAGAGACGAAATCTTCTCATTTGCAATCAAACCCTTCGTCTGAACAAACGCGCTGGACCTGACGTGGTATGGGCTTCGGTCATAGTACTTGTCAATGATCGGATGAACCATGACAGTTTGGTTGTGGATAGTCAGAATGGAGTTGGTCGGAACGTTCACCCAATTTTCTGCTGCAATGTCAGTTGATTCCTTTGAGCTTCTAGTAGTCTGAAGTATACCTCTCTCGAACGTCAACGGCTCACTCGCAACCAGAACGATGTCGGCACCTTTGTCTCGGCGCTCCATCTGGTAGTTTCGATCATTAACAGCCGAGGTTCGCGTTCCCCATTCGGTGCCTGATGAGTAGTACAGACTGGCTGCCTCGTCTGTTGCACTGCTTATATATCGAGTGCAGATGATGCTCTTGCCGTCGGTAACGGCAAAGTTGAGCAAACTTCGGGTGTCCACATTCTCCGACTGGATTGTGCTCTCCGGAATTTCGTCAATGAGCTCGTTGATCAGCGCAATAGTCTTCAGTAGGGCCTTTCGGAGCACTGTAGGACCGAATCCGTTCGGAGGTTGGGAGCTGGGGTCGTGACCCATCCTCTCGAGAGTGTCGAGGAATAGGGCGAAGGCCCATTCGCTGTCTGTACCACCCTGAACCCCTAAATACCATTTATCGGCCAATCTTTGACCCAACCTTCTCTTGATGTACTTCCAGCCCCCGAGTCCCCCATTATGCATCCACATTAAGCTTCCGTGACAAAACGGGTGGCAGTTGTCTTCGCTCAAGGATCCTTCGGTGGTTGCTCGGACGTGGGCAAATATTAACTGTGAAGCAGTCTTCGAGGCAATACGGTGAAGATTGGTACAGTTCCAGGCGGGTATCGTGGAGGTGAAGAGACATGGCGCATGTCCAAGTTTTGGGTCGGTGTAGAAGCCAATTCCGAACCCATCGGCGTTGTTCTGACCCCTTCTTGTGTCCTATTAGATCGGATAATGAGATTAGATATGTTCGCTACAGACGCATTGGTACGAACGGAGTCAAACTCACCAGTCTTAGCCTCGAATCGAAGGACTGCTTCAAAATGGAATGGGTGGGATCGAGAATAAGCTTGGAGAGAAGAATCTCATCGCTTCCACGGTACACCTAGGCACAATTAGCATTATGCAGACCCTAGAAAGCTATGCGAAGAAGTACCAAGAATCGGCACATGGTGGCTGGCGTGCAAACTTAGGTGCAATGCCTGAGCTCAGAGATGTTCGGAGAGATCGATACGGCCAGGACGCGCAACGGTGGCGGGAGGGATGCGGACCGTCGTGGAATGACGAGGATGAAGCAAATAAGTAGAGAACGAAGTGTGGTAGCGGAATGGAAGATAAGAGGAGGGAAGACCCAGTCAAATATATTCTGTTTGATGAGCTATGGCGCGATCAGAAACCCCAGGGCAATGGCGCAAGTTGATAGGGATATGATCTGTAGCCCACAGGATACTGTCCCAAGTCTTGGTAGAGAGTCGGGCTTCTTGTTGGGAACACAGCGTAGGGGATTGTCCTGGCCAGCTGATCTGGGCGCGCGGCAGCTGAGCGTCCGTGCTGATGGGGGAAAAGAAACAGCAATTTGGGGGAATGGGCAATGCCGATGGCGCCTTCGGCTTGGCTCAAGCGTTCCTGATCTTCAGGGTGGTCTCATCCTCGTCAGTCGGGCTTGCAGATGGAGAAAGTACGTTGTTGCAATGAGTCATTTGCTCTGGGTCCGAAAAGCCAGAGTCGAGCAGTCGGGATGGCCACGGCGCCACGGGGCTCTTTAATCTAACGTCCAACGGCGACCTACGGAAACCTACTCAGCTGGTGATCGGAGGAGCTTCGGGGCGGGTGCGTCCCCGTCTACAAGCATGGAAGGTACACCGTGGGCATGCCTGTCTGAGGTACGTGATGATGCGATAAGCCTTTAAAGGAGTGCTAATAGCCCCTCCATCATGCATCAAACGGGGACAGACACTAAAATAGATAGCCAGCTACGAAGGTCGAGGAGAGGTCAGGCCCGCTCAAGTAGATACATGGCGAATTTAGTGGGCAAGGTACCTTCGTCAATGTGTTCCCCACCATTGCAAATGGGCTCTTCATGCAACTCGGTGTTGAGTGCAATTGCAACCCGCGAGAACCCGCTGTTTGAATACACGCCACTACTTCGTGACAACTCAACGGGTTTCTAGTTCCCCTCGTCTCCTCGACGACGCACAACTCCCCCACCGGAGACGAGATCACAACCACTCAATCCTGAAGAACCCGGCTTTGCCTTCAGCAACCCTTCATTTCAATCATTATCGCATGCGAACAATCCGTCACCGACTTTCCATCATCGGGCCTCGTGCTTTGCCGGCAGCATGAGCGGACGCCTTCTTTCTGCAGGGCTTTTGCCCACGACGAGACGCGTCCCTGCTCAAGCCGTTCGCCATTTTCATCGGCTTCCTGTGGGTGGCCTTCAACGGGCCGACGCTGCTGTCCGGGCGACTCGACGCCGCATGTGGTTCCCGGGAAACGCTTTCCACAATGCTGTAATCGTCCGAAATGCCTCCTTTGCCCGATTCTTGCCAAAGTTGGTAGTCAAATTTGCCAGGATTCCTGCCATGTTCGGAGGGCTGGCTGTTGGAACACTCGCCTGGGTACAGTACCAAGCCAACCGTAAGATTAACCTCCCCTTCATGTTCCCAACTATCAACTGACGTTGCCGTTATCAGAGCTCACCACCAACGCGTGGGACTTCGTCGCCAAGACGGCAGATGGGGTGTCGGATACTGCAATATCCATCTTCGGTGGCGCAAAGGACATAGCGGATCAAACAAGGCGCGGATGGGAAAGCACCAAAGAACAGTTCGAAACGCCAGAATGGCTACAAAAGGTGTTGAGACTCCACGAGGAGATTGGGACAGGAAAAGGCGGACATGAAGGACCGGGTGGGGAGCCTCCCAAACAGAGCAGAGCTGGCGCTGCTGCCGTTGTTGGAGCTTCGGCCGCGGCATATGGCTACGAACAGTCCGACGACGACCCCCGAGACCCCGACGAGATAGCCAAGGACGATCAGATGATGGTCTTGACGAAGAAGATGATCGAGATTCGGGGCATGCTTCAGCAAGTTGGACAGTCAAGCACTCTAACTCTGCCCTCTATTGTGGTCATCGGCTCCCAGTCCTCGGGCAAGAGTTCGGTTCTGGAAGCACTCGTCGGTCACGAATTTTTGCCGAAGGGATCCAACATGGTTACACGTCGGCCGATTGAGCTGACTTTGGTCAACACCCCTGATTCAAAGGCAGAATACGGCGAGTTTCCGGACTTAGGCCTCAGACGCATCACAGACTTCTCTTCTATTCAGAGAACGTTGACCGAACTCAATCTGGCCGTCCCAGACAGCCAGTGCGTGTCGGATGACCCGATTCACCTCACAATCTATTCTCCGAATGTTCCAGACCTCTCTCTCATCGACCTGCCGGGCTACATCCAAGTCGTGGGGCAAGGTCAGCCGCTTGAGCTCAAGCAGAAAATCTCGGAGCTTTGCGATAAGTATATTCAGCCTCCAAATGTTATCCTGGCCATTTCTGCCGCAGATGTGGATCTCGCAAACTCAACAGCCCTGCGTGCAAGCCGTCGTGTGGATCCCAGGGGCGAGAGGACGATTGGAGTAGTCACCAAGATGGACCTAGTTGATGCTACTCGAGGCTCTGCTATCCTTAGTGACAAACAGTACCCCCTCAGGCTTGGCTATGTTGGTGTCGTCTCAAGAGTTCCCCAAACGGGCGGTTTGTTCAAGCGATCCGGCAGCATCCAATCGGCCATTGCCAAGAATGAGAGCGCATTCTTTTCTAACCACCCGCTTGAGTTCGGCGAAGGATCCGGAGTCAACGTTGGAACGATCAATTTGCGCAAGAAGCTCATGACTGTCCTTGAACAAACAATGTCCGCCAGCCTTCAGACCACGAGCGACGCCATCAGGCAAGAGCTCGAAGAGGCAACTTATGAGTTCAAGGTTCAGTACAATGATCGCCCACTTTCGGCCGAGTCCTACTTGGCGGAAAGCCTCGATGGGTTCAAGCATTCTTTCAAGAAATTCACAGAGGAGTTTGGCCGCCCTGAAATGCATGAGTTGCTGAAGCAGGAGTTGGATCAGAAGGTCCTTGACCTACTCGCAGCCAGATACTGGAACAAGCCCATCCAGGACTTATCTCCTGCCCGACCCGACCTAGACAACCTTGCAGATCTTCCCAAGGCCGACCCAAATTCTTTGTACTGGCACAGGCAACTCGATGCGTCTACGTCCTCCCTGACAAAGCTTGGAGTGGGAAGGCTGGCAACCACTGTGGTTGCTTCATCTATTCAGTCTCACATTGACGCCCTGATCAAGAGCTCAACGTTCAGCAGCCACCCCTTTGCCCGGGAGGCTATCATGGATGCTGCGTCGACCATTCTTAACGAGAGGTTCTACAGTACCAGCGATCAGGTCGAGAACTGTATCAAACCCTACAAGTTTGAAATCGACATTGATGAGAGAGAGTGGACACAGGGTCGGGACCACTCGGCTGTGGTGCTGAAGAAGGAGCTTCAAGATTGTGAAGGCGCTCTAAAGGGCATCGAAGACACTGTCGGCGGCCGAAGGAAGCTTAGAGAGGTTATGAACTTCGTGGACCGTGCCCGAAAAGGCGATGTTGTTGTTGAAGGGGATGGACGAAGCGGTGCTGGAGGCTTCAGTGCGGCTCTTCTTGCAAGAGGTGAGTTCCATATGGAAGAAACCATCGGAAAACACTGTTAACATCGACCAGGACGCGAGGCTGTGTTCCTCAGGGACCGCGCAGACATCATCAAGATGCGCCTGCTGGCCGTCAAGTCTAAACAATGCGCAAATCTGAAGAACAAGTACTACTGCCCCGAGGTGTTCCTTGATGCGGCAGCTACCAAGCTGGCTTCGACCGCAGTGCTCTTCCTTAACGTGGAGCTCCTCTCAGAGTTTTACTACAACTTTCCTCGGGAGCTTGACCTTCGCCTTGGCAGACACCTTTCAGACGCCGAGATTGAGAAGTTTGCCAAGGAGGATCCTAAGATCAGGAGACACCTCGAGGTCATCCGTCGCAAAGAGCTCCTCGAGTTGGTTCTTGAGAAGATGGAAAGTTTGCGGCAGCTCGAGGGCCGTGAGCGAGAGCGGCAGCAGGGCGGTAGACCCAGCAAAGACGACAAGCAGAGGGGACGCTGGGGGCTATTTTGAGGACAATTCCCTCAGGTCTGTAACGTGTTATGACTTGGACGCAAAAAGGAGTTGCGGTGTTGAAAGATAGCCTTCTGGGACGAACTGGTCCGTCGTGTGGACGTCGCGGACCAGGCCTGTTCTATTCACAAGTCTTTGGTATTTTGTACACAACGGTATATAGCAAGAAGGACGGATACCCTCCTCGACTCGACCTCCTCAAAGAAATAGATTTTCACTCTCGACTCTTTTCCCGCAACCTGAAGAATGTCTACGCATTGAGATGCCCATCCAATAGAACGCCCGATGAACTAAACACGCCCGTCACTGTCCAAAATTCATCCAGTTGCGTCAATGCTCGTCTGCAGAGTAACCTCCCATCTCAGACTCGTGCCCCGACCGTATCCTTCGCCCAGCCTGTTCTGTATCAGAGTTGATATCCGGCTGCGTAGCTTGCTAATTGTGCCCTCATCACAACCCTTGGCCACGCAAATCTTGAGATTAGCCATGCACAATCCGTAGTGCACCTGCCAGAACTGCGCGTCTTCGATGCGTGTGACGCCAGGTTCTGCCTCAATCTCCCGCACCACTGAGGTTACGCCCTCATTGCCTCCATTACCGCCGTACGACATCAGCAGCATCATAGCCTGGGCCATGGCCAATTTGGCGCCGAACAGGAACATGGATGCCGCAATGGCCGCACACAGCGTCCGGTCGAGCCAAATATATGTCTTGATGGACAGGAGGGGAAGCAGAAGCAGCAAACTGGAGAAGAACACGGTAAGGAAGTGAAAGATGTTCGAAAAGTGGGTAGGAAGTCCGGCGAGCCATGATACTCGCATGATTCTTGCAATGCGCGCGTGATTCTTTAGACCATACGCGGAGATGGCCGTGCTAGCAATCGCGGCGAAGGCGGCCCAGTCTACCTCGCCGGCTGACACACGTTCATGAGCATGTTCATGATGCGGCTCGTGTCCGCCCTTTGTTTCGAGCCAGTGCTTAAGATTGTGTGATACGAGATCGAAGCCGCCAAACAGCAGGAAAATTGACATTGCAAAACCGGCGAGAACCTCGGCCCTTTCAAGACCGAAGGGGTGGCGGATGCTGCTACGGCGCCAGACTTCGAAGTTGCCGAGTACCTCAACGGCGACACACACGGCAGCACTCCCGGCGTCGAAGAAGACCAAGTGGGATAGAGCCATCATGGCCAGCGAGCCTTCCGAGATGAAGAACAGCCAGGACGCGACGGCCAAGTGGCACAGGCTCCAATAGAGCCGGGCGCGCTGGTCGCGAGACATGCTCTTCCATGCTTCGCGAACGGTCGGTACGGGAAGGGACGCAGGTAGAACAGGGGGCGGACGTTGAGGAGGCTCTTGGAAGATCTGGTGTTGTGTCGATATCGAACTGTGCTTGTATCGATGGCCGCGGCGCTGGCCGATATTCTGCGAGAGGCCGGTGTCAGTGGTCGAGTAAGGATGCGAAGATGACGAGGCGCGCATCATGATGAGCGATGTCTCTCCGCGCGAAGCTGAACATACCGACTTGACAGGCGAGGTCGAGATGACCTGCGTCTGAAAGTTGAAGGGGCTCGGGACGGTAGAGCCCCCAGCGGAAGGAGGGTCGTCTTCGGCCATTGCTGCAGCGTCCGGACGAAGCAAACCGAGTTTCAGGTTCGGCGAGGGAGCCAAAAGACCGGATTTCGATGTCGTTGCTACGTGAGGGAGGCTGCTACGGTCGGAGGCCGCGTCGTTGTCAAAGTCGACCGTCTGGCGGGCGTCGTCACCAGCGATGTTTATAGATGGACAGGCGATTTGGTAAGGTGGAAGGACGACATGGGGTGCACTGCTATCGCTGTTGACGTTGCCGTTTTCGGGACTCGGTGGGGTGGCAGGTCGTCTTGGAGGGGTGGACAAGCGTGCAGATGCAGGGCTGGAAGCCATGGGCCCGTCTTGCCGGCGGTGTCGCCCGGCGCTTGGCTGTTCAATAGCGAAGGACGGCAGCCAGGAACAGTGGGAGCATAAACAGGGTCAATGGCGGCGGCTTCCGATAGTCGCCAGCATTTGCGGTATGGGGAGGCGGGAAGGGAGACGAAAGAGACTGTGTGTGCGTGTGTGGGTGGGTGTCGTGTGTCGTGTGTTGTGTGTCGTGCGAAGTCTGTCAGGCAAGAGACACAAGGATGAGATGGGACGAGACGAGCAATCATTTACATAGAACCGCCCAGCGCCTCAATATTAGGGGGACTGTGATGGATTTGACTGTACCTTACAGAAGGGGGAAAAGGCATCAACCTATCTACCTTACACACATGAAGGACGACCCAGACAGCTTCCCCCACACTTCAGCTTCAGCCATTTTTGGGGCCACTCTGCCAGGGACACGGCACTCTCTTCAGATTAGCACTCCGCTAATTGCATGTGATGCGTATTAGAGTTATTTCCCTTAGATACATGGGAGATTTGAGAGATCGTGGCTGCTCCAACACCCACTTTCCGCCATGGGCAGACAGGTCACTGGACCGCGTATTCGCGGCCCACGTCACTAGGCAGGGACCTGGCCGTTTACCGTTAGTGCATCCACCTCGCGACTTGTCAGCTAGGTAACTTGGCGATCCAACAAACCACCTCGCCTCAGTTCAAGATGCAGCTAGGCTCTGTACAGCCAGGAGGCCTTTTTTTTTTTTTTTTTTTTTTTTTTTTTTTTTTTTTTTTTTTCTCCCTCTCTTGTCTTTCTCGCCGGTCTTTCGTTGACCGCACAACAGTGAAGAGATAACCACGTAACTTGGCAGCGAACTGAACTCCGACTCGAAAACAGTCTCAGCCTCCCGTCCCATCTTTGTCTTCCGCCCCCAATTCCGACCAATACTCTCCACTCTCTCTACCGGGGCCAGCCTGGTGCGATAAGGGATTATCGCAGTTGGATGCAACACACAATGGAGCGAACTGCGTCCGCTGCTGCCGCCGCCGCCGATCACGACGACGACGGCGAACTTATTTCTGTAGATGTGACAAGGTCAACATCGCCGACAGCTGGACTGCCTGTCCATCCCCAGTCGCAAACCCAGCTCCCGGATAATCCACATCGACGTACGGTGTCTGGCGCCAGTCTACTTTCCAAGCTCCCCTTTATGCGCTCCCTCTCAGACGGGAAGCCACATCACGAAGCCGAGCAAGACGCAGCGCACTCGGCGTCGGCATCCATGTCAACCATTACTCAACAGAAGTCGAGAAGACGGAAAGGTTCCCTTAGGAAGGTTGCCCTTCTAGGAAGAGGTGCGCAGAGGGAGCGTAAGGAGGCGAAGCAGCTCACCATCGACACATCGCATAGTGTCTCTCGTGGGGTGGAAAACACGGAGCATCGATCCCAATCACCACCCACAAGTACGACTGCCACAACTGCAACGACACCCGGGCACGATCCTCTTGGGCTCAATATTTCGGACCTCACCCCTCGTCCTTCCATGGACGGCTACGCGAGCAGGTCGAGTCTGGCCGAGTCTTCCGTTTCCTCGACAAGCCCTTCTCAGCCAAACGAGAACGAGTCGAGCATAACAAGTCCGACGATATCATACACATCTACCACGGACGAAGACGACGTTCTACATATCCCAAACCATTTACCGTCACCTCTACGGCCAGACCTGTCGCTGTCGTCGGGCGCCGAATCGTACTTTGCGAGTCGGAGGCGTCGCTCCATCTTACAAGCCAAATCACCACTCTCGTACAGTGGTTTGTCAAGTACACCACTGCCGCCTGCTGATGCGGATTGGGACTATTCAGACACGGAATGGTGGGGATGGGTCGTCCTGATGGTCACGTGGATTGTCTTTGTGGTGGGAATGGGCTCGGTTCTGGGCATGTGGAGTTGGGCATGGGATGTTGGGACGACGCCGTACGCCCCTCCGGAGCTTGAAGATGATCCAACGCTGCCCATTGTGGGCTACTATCCAGCCCTCATTATCCTGACCTGTATCATGGCATGGGTGTGGGTTGTTGTGGCCTGGGTCGGTATGAAATATTTCAGACATGCCAAGATTAGCGGCGATTAAACAGCCGCGCATTGCCTACCAGCATCTTGACAGCATTGATGATTGGTGTAGCAAGCATTGAATAGGGATGGAGGCTCAAAAAATCTGAAGAAGCGTATCATTAAAAGCACACGTTCTGGTACGAAACCAGAAAATTCATAACCCAGCAAGCGTTGTCAGTAAGCCATGCTCATTGCAATTATCCTTCTAAGCAGCCTCAAGGGCAGTAGTGTCAACATATTGATCAGGAACTATGCCCCGCTCTGTATCGGGAAGCTCAAAGGACATTGAAGCATGTCATCACAGAGGAATGGAGGTCACGAAAAAAAAGCCCCAAGCTTGCGGTGGCCCATTCGAAGGCGACGATGCCACTCAGGTGGTCTAGAGCTGGCGAGACTGGTTAATCAGCCCGCCAGCTCGTTTGCCCATATCATGACACACGAAAACACAGGTGCCTTTGAAGGAGCAGACGCGGCTAATCAATGTTGACGATTCAAACGTTGCGATTGCCAGGCTGTTGGGCTGTTGGGTTGTTCAGCGGATGGAAAGGCTGGAAGCGAGAGGCCCCACTGTCTGCGCGTAATGAAAAGAATGGGCTTGCCGGCCTCTGAGCGGAGAACAGGGGTCCACGGACCGCATCTCCTCAGATCTCGGCGGTGGGGGTGGTTGGTTTTGGGGATCTCTCTGGAACACCGAACACCGGGCCAGCTTGCTGCGAGAACGAAGAGCTGTCAGACGTGGTATTAGGGACTGGCGTGTGCGTCCACACTGACGTTCGGGGAGGTAGACGGAGCTTCAGCTCAGCCTTATTGGATACAGTTGGCAGCACACGTGTCGAACCGGTGCAGAACTGGCTCACAACTCACGCGACCACACGCTGAGGTAGGGAACAGTGGCGGATCCGAGAAGAGAAGCTCAGAAGGATGGTTATCTCAAACAATCATGTTAGCAGTACGCACGCTCCCAGGCACAGCGACCAGACAGCATTGCTTCGCTCATGCCTTCGCTGTCAGAAACCAAGCTGGGTCGATGAAGGCGATTCTACGGGAGCTTGCTGGGCGGCGTGTTGTGAGGTGGGGGACGCGTTTGTCCTAGTGGTGTGCATGAGATGTGATGTGCGTGATTCTGCTGCTGCTGCTGCCGCCACTTAGTGGTCCTCGAACTCTCGGTGCGTTGGCAGTTGACTCAGCTGAAGGTAACTATTCGTACCTGGGAGGCAGCAAGCGGGCTCCATTTTCGTCCTGTAAGCAAAGTGTCAGACGCAACAACACGCACCTGGATGGCCAGGGCAGTCTTGGGATGTGAGGTGCGAACTGGCGACCCTGATTACCTTAGGCAAGCAAGGTACCCAGGAACTTCAGCGACAACCGACCGTCTCCCTCTACTCTTGCCGTTCTCGCGGTTCCATCTGCTCATCTCATACTCACTGCCACACACCTGTTCGATGTGGGGGATCAGGAGGGCACAAGCTGAGAAACTAGGGGGCGTATTGGAAAGGAGGGGGCCCATCAGGACTCAGACCCTTGAGAGAGATAGATGCCCATGGTTGGCGAGGCTTGGCAGTGGATGGCGGCACAAAAGCCAAAGGGGCCATGGGGGGAGGGTTGAAGCAGACGGACGGGTGGAGGGAGGTGCTTGGATCTCTTGTTCCTTTTCCCCTCTCCACTATCCATGGACCATACCTACCCGTGTTGTTTTTTTCCCCCGTCATTTTCTTTAAGCGCTGTTAAAAATTGAGATGGCAGAGGCGGCAAGGGAAGGCGCGCCCGCACGGCCAATCAGTAAAGCGCCAGCCCCTCGTCGCTGTTGGACGGGTTTGGAGTCCCAGAAGAGGGGAGAGGAGAGGAGCAGAGGCCGTGCGCCACTTGCTTCTGTTACGTAAGGTTCAGAGTACTTTACCTAGGTACTTAAGGTAGGTACCTACTAGGTAATCGTAGTAGGATTCTGACCGGGCTGGTTGACTGAGCCATCCGGCTTGTACCGCCATATCTCATCGCGAGGTAGGTATCCGTACTTGCACTATTGTTCCGGGGTCTGGTAGGAATGCCTTGCACACAGTTCGAAGGTGCCGGAGCGCCGTCAATTAGTGTTCTCGCAGAGGGTTGCTTTTCGAAGGCTCCCAGTGGCCCGGTCAGCCGCCAAAAGTATGAAAAGTCAGGGTCTTCACCTCGTGGCACGCAGCCAGAAGACGAAGTAAAAACAGATTTGTGGTTCTTGCTGCAGCCTGCAGGACAAAAAGGCTAGCGCCGGCGGCAAAGCATATCAACAACGTCTTTCGTTAATCGCCTGCGTCAGGCAGGACCCTGCGGGTCTGGGAGGATGCAGTATGCCAGCAAGTAAGCAAGCAATAAATGGTGATAGGAAAGTGTGGTTCTTGTTCTCTTAGGGTGTGATCTTCTCCCCAGTACTAGCACTAGTACTAGAGATTTCTAGTACTAGCATATTCTCTGATGTAACAGAAGCCTGGAAAAACCTCTTTTTAATACGCTTAACCTTTCTAAGTACTAATAAATTACTATTAGTAAGGGGACCTTATTATAAAGTCTTAGCGGTATAGTTATATAAAAAATAACTATATACCCTCTCTCTTTAGTATTAGTACTAGAGTTT